ATACGGGAGGATTCCCCCTAAATACATATCGAGTCCTATATATATATATATATATGTACATATCAAAAGGACTCAAGAGTTGCAATCCACCCAGCGGCTGGGCCCATGATTGGGGTGTGGTTCTTACTGGAGACCCCGTTGAGCGGGGAGTTCTCCAGTTCAGGGCAAATTCTTCGGCGCCTGGACCCCTGGATGCAAAGTTCTCCACCTCAGCGAGAACCAATCGAGTGAGACCGTAGAATTGTGCTTTGAGTTCCCCAAGTGCTCAAATGAGACCCCCATCAGTTCCCGAATTCCCAACACCCGGACTCGGAAAGTTTCCCTACCTATCACACCAGCAAGAACGGGCCACCATTTTGAGGAGAGTTGGGAGGATGTCACGGTGCTCATCCCAGCAGACTGGAATTGAGTTCTTTGGGTCTAAATTTCATGGGGTTGGGGGGGGGGACCTCATGGGGTTGGGTACCTCGAAACGAAATTCAGCCATAGGAGAAAACCTTCCATTGCTTAAGAATATGTTGTATTTCCCCTGTTGGTGTTAACGAGAACCTATCAAACTACTGGAAACAAAAACCAGGGGACTTAAGCAAATGGAAGAACACCTTATTATTAAATTCGTAAGCTGGACACCTTGGCACGATTCTGCTTCATCTGGGCTTCGACATTCCATGGTTGCAACACCCTCAACAGTGGCTGGCGCACATGTGGTTGACATGTGCCTCCCCTTGTGAAGGATGTTTCTCAAAACATAAACTACATAAAAAAAAAAAAAAAAAAAAAAAAAAAACGGGTACCCCTATTCTAACCTCTCTACTGGAGGACCTAGCAATTAATACACCTCCATTTCAGTGCAAGGGGCAAGAAGCGGAAACTGATTTTGAGCTGCTCAGCTGACTTGTCTGTTTTGTGAGTTCTACGCTGTATCCCCGTTTTACTCCAGTAGCTTTTCCACTAAAATCGATTTTTCTTTTGGATCTCCTTCCGCAGAAGGTACCAGCAATCAGCCTGTTTGGGCAAAATGAGCGAAATCCCTAGGTGCTTGACTCATGGGCATCCAGTTCGTTTTGGACATGTTAAAGGTGCAGAGCAGCAAAGGGAACCTTCCCATACCTTTCCCCTTTTGCGGGCCGGGAATTGAATCCTCCACCCCCTTGCCAAGAAATAAGCATGGAGCCCAAAAGAGCCCAGAAGAAAAGACTCCTGCAAGTGGTGGCTTTTTTTTGCTGAAAGCGGGTGTTCAAAAGCCGCTGATCACGTGGAAAGGGGAACCGTGAGAGATTGTTCGAACAATAGCATGTTTAACAGGCTTCCCCACAATTCCGTTTTTGGTGGCTTCAACCCTTTTAATGGAGAGTTTCCTTTGGTAGGGGAGATGTCTTACGAGAAGCCTGTCTAAAGAAGAGAGTGGCACCCTGCCCCCGAGGTGTACCCCAGATCTTCCCTTGGCCGCCCGCATCAGCCTGCATGCCAACCCGCGTGTGACATCTCTCCAGTGCGTCTCGCGCCCATGTGCCGGAGCTACACACAGTTGGTTGTTGTCATGATGATGATGATGATGATGATGATGATGATGATGATGATGATGATGATGATGATGATGATGATGATGATGATGATCCCACAATAACCAATCGCACAAGCCCAAATCTCCCTCCCTGTTCATTGGGTCATGTGCCATGTATTGGTCGACCTCAGCAACAGGTAGTGGTCCCGATTCCCGATCCAGATCTGAGCGAAAGCAGTTTTGTGCCTGTGGACCACAACTGAGATGCTTTGATCAGCAGACCGTTGGTTTTGACTCGATGTCTAAACGCCTGCCAAGAACACTGCCCCTGAAGCCGAACGTAGAGGAGATGATGTGGCAGTCCCAACTGGGAACCCTGGTAATTGGACACACGGAATAAGCTCGGGCGATATCCCCAACAGCACCACACCCTTCCCAGAATCCTCGCGGAACGCCCCGGGACCATCCTTACCGCCGGTGTTGCTGAGGATGCCGCCTTGTAAAAGCAAAGCTACGAGTGACAGCGCAATCTCGCCTCGGGGCCCGACGGCGCAATCGGGGCCCGATCGGGGCCCGACGGTGCAATCGGGGCCCGATCGGGACCCGACGGTGCAATCGGGGCTCGGGGCCCGACAGCGCAATCGGCCTGATCGGGGCCCGAAGGCGCAATCGGGGCCCGATCGGGGCCCGACGGTGCAATCGGGGCCCGATCGGGGCCCGACGGTGCAATCGGGGCCCGATCGGGGCCCGACGGTGCAATCGGGCCCCGATCGTCCCGTGGTGCAACCCCAGCCACCCATATTATAGCTCAACGCCGGTTTTCCTTAGTATGCGGATTGCAACTGTATCTATAGCAAAACTAGGCGACGCCAGCTTGGTACAATTGACGGGGCCCGACTGAGTCGGGCTCCGATCGGGGCGCGATGGCGCAATCGGGGCCGATCGGGCCCAAACGGTGCAATCGGGCGGCCCCCGACAGTGCAACCGGGCCCCGACCTAGGCCCGGTGAACCTCACAAACCGTTCTCACGCAACTTTCGTGGAGCTCCGCGTGAAACTTTGCTGGAACCTTTCCTCAGGGCTGCCCCATAGCTTTTGCAGAATTTGGTGGAAACCTTCTGACCTCATAGCCCTCGCAGCCTCGTGAAATTCTTGGAACCCAAAGCCCACCAAGCAGCAATGCCAAGCATTTGCTCTGCTGCACCGTGAGTTCCGCAGCGACGTGATCTGATTTGCCACAAAGCCAACATTTGCCTGAGCAAGTGAGCAAGTCACAAACAGTGAAAGTGTGCTAAAAACCATTGATTTCGGTTTTGCTTAGTGTTCCGCCCATGAGCAAAGCGATCTTGATTCGATGGCTTTTCAGACGACGGGCGCACGACACACCCTTGGTGGAGCATTGTGGAGCCTTGTTTTGTCGAACCCTCGCAGAATCTTGTGGAACCCTGAAACCCTCATACAACCTTACCTCAAACCACCTCGGACCACTCGCAGAACCTGGTGAAACCCTGGCAGAATTCTGGTGGAAATCTGGTGGAACCCTCGTGGAACCTTACCTCAAACCACCCGGACCACCCTGCAGCCCTGGTGGAACCCTCGTGGAACCTTACCTCAAACCACCCAGACCGCCCCGCAGCCTGGAACCCTGGTGGAACCCTGGCGGAACCCTCGTGAAACCTTCCTCAAACCCGCAGCCCTCGAAGAAATTGGTGGAACCCTGGTGGAACCCTCGTAGAACCTTACCTCAAACCACTCCAGACCACCCCGCCCTTGCAGAACCTGGTGGAACCCTGGTGGAACCCTGGTCAAACCCACCCTGGTGGAACCCTGGTGGAACCCTGATATGGTGGGACCCTGGTGGAACCCTGGTGGAACCCTGGTGGAACCTTAGCTCAGGGTCGCCCCGAACCACCCCGGAGCCTATCTGGGCTGAGACCCCAAAGCTTTCAGCTGTTGGGGAAAAAAACCTGTGGTCCCATGGTTGAATCTTGGCCCACAGCCATGTGGGTGGCTCGGATGGAACTGGGGATGTCAAAGTGACCTGGAACTCGGTGGCGCGGACGGCTGCGCCGGGAGGTCAATGAAGAAATTAAAAAATGCGTGAGGGTTTGTGCAGCCCTCACCAGGCCGTAAGTCTCTGCGATTTTGCGCGATTCTGCGCGACGCAAGTGCGAATAGGTTCGCCTTTTGGGAAGTTTGAAAGCAAGCTGTAGCTTTTGCCATTTTGGAGATCGCCCCGTGCTCTTGACACATCCCACGTTCATTTTGACGGGATTTCTCGGCTCATCCGGAGTGCCAAATCTTGATAGGCACCTTAGGATCTGTAGGTCTTTTCACTAGACCGCAAGGAGTGAGCATGTGATGCATACGCAAGTCCACAGATTGGCTCAACCGAGGCTATGTCTGCTTGGGGATTGGGACATGTGGGGGCTCGCAATATTTCCAACAATCACCAGACAACTCGCTACCCTCTTCCCAACGGAAGTGGACAGGGATTTCCATTCTGCAAGGAAAGCACCTGCACTTCCATGTATGTTGAGACTCATTTTTCCATGGCCATTACGTTAACCTCCTTCCATTTGCTTAAGAATATTTTTTATTTCCCCTGTTGGTTTGAAAGGGAATCCATCACTACTGCTTTATTATTATTATTATTATTCTTATTATTATCATCATTATTATTATTATTAGTATTATTATTATTATTACTATTATTATTATTTATTTATTATTATTATTATTTATTATTATTATTATTATTCTGATTTTTATTTTTATTTTTTTATGTATTATTTATTATTATTATTATTATTATTATTATTATTATTATTATTATTTTTATTTATTTTTATTTATTTTTATTTTATTATTTATTATTTATTATTATTATTATTATTTATTATTTTATTATTATTTTTATTTATTATTTATTGTTATTATTATTATTATTATATTATTCTTCTTCTTATTATTATGTATTATTTATTATTATTATTATTATTATTATTATTATTATTATTATTATTATTTATTATTATTATTATTATTTATTATTTATTATTTATTATTATTATTTATTATTTATTTATTATTATTATTATTATTTCCAGGGGGACCCTGGCTCATTCATGCAAAGACAGTGCAGCTAGGCAGCTCAGCTTCGGGCTGTTTTGGGCCGAGGGAGTCATGTCAGCTTGGATGAGCTAAAAACATGGAGGGTGTAACACGACTCGTTGGGCCCCTGGAAAAGCTCCCAACCTGGTAGGAAGGTTGACTCTGACGATGTCCCCGTTGTGGAGGGATGTCTCCCACTACTAAAAGCTTGTATCATCCAAGGGAAGGGGAACCTGGTATCCCACTTTCCGGATATCACGTTTGGGGGAACCACTTTTCCCTTATGCCGGGGCGAAGTTCATCCGGGGTCATTCGTGCTTTGGCGAGCTCTTCTTTTCCCAGGTCCCAAAAGGTACCCTGTTCGCGGATGTCCCCAGCGCCAGGTTGTGGTGACAGAGTTGCATGTCGAAGAGGGCCAAGGCGGGTGGCAGGAACATCCAATCGGTTCAAACGCATCCATTCGCAAGGGCTCACAGTGGGTCGGTGGATTCCGGGGCCTAAGTCGAACTTCTCCACCAAAAGTATGGGACGCAGGGCCACCTGAAGCATCTCCCTCAGTTCAGAAGTGCGGCTTTTTGTAGGGCATCTGCAGATGGGTATATGTGTCAAGTAGGGGACCCAAAATCCCAAAATGGCGGTGGAACCACCTCTTCGGCAGGTGGCGTTTTGGCTTTTGCGGCTTTTCGCTGGTTTATGCGGCTTTTGGCGGCTTTGGCTTTTCGCATCCTTTGCTTTCGCAGTTTCTCTCCGGGCGTTTTGGCTTTTGCACCCTTTCATTGGTTTTTGGATTTGGCTTCCCGCATCATCAGCATCACCAGTTTTCTCCACATTTGAATCATCACTTCTTCGAACATGGGGGGGCTCCCCCCCACCCACCTGCTACCTTTTTAGATTGTTTGCAGAGTAATTGCACCCCTATTTGAAACAACACTTCTTCAAACATCATGGTGGGGGCTGCCACCTCCCCCCCAACCCCCCCGCTACTTTTTAGATTTCTTGCAGAGATTTAAGCACCCTATTTGAATCATCACTTTTTCGAGCGTCCAATTTCGCGAGAAAATGCTGTAAAATACGACATTTTAGGTAATCTATGTAATCCATGTATGTCTGTTTGTATGCACTTCTTCGAACATCATCGGGGAAGCCACCCCCGCCAACCCTCCTGCTGCCTTTTAAATTCTATCGCACCCGTTCTTGAATCATTGCGCCCCTACTTGAATCATCACTTCTTCGAACCCCAACTGACCTAGGTCCCCCAATAGTGCCCTTTAACCTTCTTTTGGGGGAGGGTTCCCCTACTACAATAGACTACAGAAGAAAGGGTACCCTTATTCTAACCTCTCTACTGGAGGACCTAGTGACCTTCGCCAGGTTTCCGATGGTTTTGCTGGGGGGTAGCGTCTCTTTCGGGCCCCTCATTGGACACCCCCCTTGCTTGCCCGTGATTTTTTGGGTCACACGGAGACAGCCTCCTGTCCGCTTCCTTTTCACTATGGAACACAGGGTAGTTCACCTAGTCCAACTTTCCAGGCCTTCGGCAAAGCGGCAGATACATCTTTGCAGCAATGCTACTTCCGTTTGCTTAGGAATATTGTTTTTGTTTTCCCCCGTTGGTTTTAAAGGGAATCTCTCACTACTGAAAATATGTGTTGGTTTTTTTCCCCAGGGGCTTGAGCAAATGGAAGGCTATGATTGTTTTCATGCCTTCTTTGATTGAGTGTAGGTTAGGACATTTTGCTGCACATTCTACCTTGTCGGGATGTTCCACTTCATTTCGCTTTTTCCGTGGCCGGCGGAATTTTGAGCTGCCTTTGGCACATCATCCAACAAAGAAGCTCACGCCAAAGCCAACTGGGCAACTGAGCAAACACCCAAGGCGACGAGCAAAGCAATTACAGAAGGCAACTGCACGTGTTTTTTCGGGCGCGTTGATCGGTCGTACTTTCGTACTTCACTGCGACTTTCGGAAGGATTAAGGTTTGATCAAAAGGTCAATTGCTTGGAATGACCATTGGGGATCATCACTAAACAGATTTGATATTTCCCACTAAACGGGGTTGGGGCCGAAGGGAATATTGATTGACCCCCAGGTCCCACTTTGTTCAAAGCCGGTTGATAACTCAGACTGCGAAGAGGCCTCGACAGCTGGTTGGCCTTTGAGTTGGCTCGTGTAGCCATCAAACAACTAGTGCTGGACGATTCAGCTGGCTTGCTGACTACCTGACAAACAAGCTGGGCAAGTTCGAACCAATTGACTCAAGTCACTAGATATCTTACTGATGCCACAGATTGCTCAACTAGCCAACTAGCCAATTCACTGATGGGTTGGTTTCCCGACTGACTGTCTATCTAGCTGACTAACTAACGGACTCATCCACGAGAAAACCTACAGATGAGAGCTGGCTATCTCGCCAGACTGTTTGACGAAGAAGCGAACTCACGGCACTGGCCGTGCTGGAATGGCTCGCGTTCACACCCAAGATGCTTCTTTGGGGCATTTTGCCTGGCTGATAGGACTTTAACTTTTTGCCAACTAATGGGTTTTCCACTAAACCACTAAAAGTTAAACTTTTAGCAGGGGAGCAGAAAGCAAACGAGGGCTTTACAGAAACAAAAGCAAGCAGGATTGAGCGTGCTTTCACAAGAAGCTCCCAGACTACGGCTGAGGGTGTTTCAACTTTTCCCCCCCATTTCGGGGGGGTCCCCTCTGGGGTGGTCAGTTCAATTCCATGTGAGCGACGTTCTAAAACCCCTGCATTTGAAAGTAGTATTCGGGAGGTAATATCGTTTTCAAACTTTTGATTTTTTCTAGGCTGCGGAAGTGCCACGAACGGTTCGCGGAAGGGCTTCATCATTTATGCCCTCACGAAACATTCGCGGAGGGGCTCCGAAGATAAGAAGTTGTAGTTCTCCAGTTCTTCAGCACAACCCATGTCTCAGTCCGCGAACTTCTCAATCCACGAAAGCGACGCGGAAGTGAGTCCCTCTTCAAAACCTCTCGCTTGGAAGCTCCTCGGAAGCCACAGAATGGATTTGATGCCGCTGGGTTTAGAACACTGCTCATTTGGGTTCAACGGGCAGCCTCCAAAATTGTTTTTCCTATTCGGTTGCATTTCCAACAGCCCTTTTCCAAACGTTTGGAGACCCCAACATGTTTGGCATGTCCTTTTGGCTTGCCTTTCGCGTCGCAACCTGTGGTATCCAAAAAAAACAATCTTGGGCTAGATTCTAAGCAAACATAGTCACGCATCCTGAGTTCCTGGACTTGTATATGTTTTTGGACGACCATTTTTGTGGCAAGCCAAACAACCAGTTGGGCGTGTTTCTGGGCGAACATCCACTCGAGCGAGGAGTCACAGTGTTCTAGGGGCTGATTCCCCAGTCTTTTCAACCATCGTTCTTTTCAATAACCAGCCGGTTTCCATGTGTTTCTGGAGGTTTTTTAGAAAGATTCGGATCCCTGGAAAGAATGGAAATGGAAGGTACCCTTAGAAATGTGTTGTTTCCGCGCACCCCAGCGCTTCGGCCCATCCGCAGGCCTGTCCCCACGGCGCGGGTCCCAGAAGACGAAGCGGTTTTGGGGATTTTCAAGGAAGCCACTGGATGGATGGTGTTTTTCTCAGGTCATTCCCTGATTCCCTGAGAACCAGCATAGGTGTTTGGAATGGGGTGGGACATGTACATTACATTATTTCGTGCATATTTTCCAACCAACCATTGTTGAACCACTTGCCCGGGTCAAAGGAAACCGCAAGGAATCCAATGGGAATCTGCAGCATCCCGCCTTTGTTGAAGCTCCCACGTATCAACCCAGAGAGGTTGTAACGTGGCCATGCTGACAATATTGTTGGTAGCGTGGGCACGGGACAGGGGTTAAGACCTGGCTCCCAATTCCCCCAGGTCCTTGGGAAGTATTCCTAACCTTTTCCGAATTCCGCATTCCTACCAGACGCAGGTTTTTAGATTCCGGGCTACGGCAAGGCGCATAACGCACACAAGTGGACATGCAGAACACAAAAAGTGAATTTGAGTCGCTGGGACTTCGCCCAAACGTTGGGCTCCAAAAACTCCGAGTCCTGAACCAGTACTGTTTTGTAAGCCACGCACAGGATGTTGCATCGTGCTTTGGCAGTTGGCTTCCTGTAAACGCCAAGGGTTTGTCCTGCCGAAAGGCTTGCTTGGGCCTAGAGATGCTTTTTTGCGGAGGGCCTTCCAGTTTCCTGACTTCATGTTATCACTACTTTGGAAATTTGGATTGGTGGCTTGGGGGTTTGAAACCCTGGTTCTTGTCAAGACTACATTCGAACCCCCCCTTTCCACGCGCCTCCCAGCCATTAATTCAATCACCCAGATTTCGCCAAGCCCCATTTACAGGTTGCGATTTTGCTCCCCTCTACCACTTTGAATTGCTTTATTAATAATTATTGTTTATTTTCCGTTGTTGCTTTCAAAGTCGGAATCTATCACTACTGGACATATTTTCTATTTTTGTCCATGGGACTGAAAGCAAATGGAAATAGCCCTTAGCAACCCACCCTGAAACCCACCCCCAACCTGTAACCACCCACCCTCCAAATGGGACTTAAAGCAAATGGAGGTCCACTCCAAATCACCGCAGCGAATTGGAGGTTGCGGCCGCGGAAGTGGTGGGCAGGCTGGGGCTCTGGGGCTCTGGAGCTCTGGGCTGGTGGCACTTTGGGTGCAAGAAGAAGAAGAGTAAGAAAGAAAGAATATAATTAACCCAAAGAGAAACTGGTTGGGAAATGAAAAAACTGGTTGGTTTCAACTCCATCTGGTTGGGTGCAAGAACAAGAGAGAGCAATAACAATAATTATCCCGAACAAGAACAATGACAACCAGGAATTAAAGAAAGCTGAAAAACAAGAGCAAGATCCGGACCAAGACCAAGACCAACACCACCAGCAACAACGACAACGACAACGACAACGACAACAACAACAACAACAACAACAACAACAACAACAACAACAACAACAACAACAACAACAACAACAACAACAACAACAACAACAACAACAACAACAACAACAACAACAACAACAACAACAACAACAACAACAACAACAACAACAACAACAACAACAACAACAACAACAACAACAACAACAACAACAACAACAACAACAACAACAACAACAACAACAACAACAACAACAACAACAACAACAACAACAACAACAACAACAACAACAACAACAACAACAACAACAACAACAACAACAACAACAACAACAACAACAACAACAACAACAACAACAACAACAACAACAACAACAACAACAACAACAACAACAACAACGGCTGTTGCATTTCGCTGGCCAACAAAAAGGTGGCGGGCTGTGTGGACAGATCGGCATTGCATCTTTTTGCTGGTATCGCGGGGGAGCCGCTGCTGTGATTGCAGACTTTCCCTCCAAATCTTCATGGTCGTGACGATTTTGATCCAAAGTCCCCAATGGAAGAACGTGAACTCAGAAACGCAAGAGGAACTCCCATAATGTTGACCCAGGATTAATAAACCTGTCCCATTGTTAGGGGGGTGTTCCCTATCCCCACTATTCTGGGACACCCCCCTATTAATCAACCAGGGGTTTATTAACCCGTGGTTCACATTAGGACATGCCCTTGCTTTTCTTCTGCAAAAAAACAGGAGCCTGCGACCGAGCCTTGAGGGAGTTGGTTGGTTCTTTCCCTTCGACCTGGGTGGCTTTGATAGGGCAAGCTTCTCAGAGCCCTTCTTTTTCGAACCCCTTGGTTTCTGTTCGTTCCCTTTCCATGGGGTCTTTCTGTGGCAGCTGGGTCAACTTTGGGCATGGAAGGATAGGGGTCGAGTTGATTCCGCTTTCAAGAAGCCGTATTTCTTGATGGTTTTCTGGAACGAAGGTTTCATGGAAGGAAGAATGGGGAAGTTACTTGTAGAATTGGCAAAGACATGATCCTCGACCAAGACCTTGGCTGCTGCCGTATTTGGTTGCGAATGGTGTTGGCAATGAACCTAGGGACTCCCTCAAAGGAAGCCATGGGGGATGGTTTTTCTCGGGGTCATTCGGCTGTGGGTCAAAAATAGGTACCCAAAAAATATAATCCTGGTAAATGGAACCAAGGACTAAAATCTGCGGTCCCCTGGTGATTTAATATTGACCCACACCCATTCCAGCTCACTCCCTGCCTATCGAACCAGCAAGTTTCGGGAACCCACGTCGTGTTTTCCCACTCCCACCAATTCCCGCAGAGCCTTCCGGCGCCGCCGAGCGGCTCCTGCCAGAGGGCGTGGCAGCAAAGCCGCCGGGCGCACAGCGGAGGTTCGAAACCATGGGAACGAAGGAACTCTTTTTGGGGTTTACAGGGAGGGGGAATATATTGTTTTGTGTTGGAGGGGGGAAGGGGGGTCGGTCCAGCAGTTATCAACACACGCCCGTGCTGTGAATGGACGAAATGCACTTTGCGGTGGTTGTCACAGTGGTTATATGGTCCATCCCGACGCGTGAAGTGGATTTGTTCTATCCACAGTATGTTTTTACTGCAATGTACCAGGGCTTTGGAGTTGGATGTGGTTGGCCCGCTGCAACAAGCAGGGAATCAACCATAGCGCGGGCTTAGTGACACCAAAGTGACTATGAGTTCAAGGGAGAACTGACAGACATGGTCGGCGGACATGAATTCCCAAGTAAATGATGCCCACTTAAGTTGTTCTTCTGCCAAGCCTTTGCATGGGAAATCCGACCACAAGTTTGACCCTAGGGATGGGCGTTGAGGATGGCCTGAGGCAAGGAGTTGGTTTTCTTGGCAGTTTCCGATTGCACGGATTGGGCTCCATTTTGGTCCCCCAGTAGTGCCCTTTTACCCTTTTTTCGGGGAGGGCTCCCCTACTAAAATAGACTACAGAAAAAAAAGGTACCCTTGTTCTAACCTCCCTACTGGAGGACCTAGCGCCAGGGAGGACTTTTGAGCCACAAGACTTTGCCACGAAATCAGAGAGGTTCACCATGAAACTTCTCGGGTCGCTTTGGCGTAAGCTGGTTGGCTGTGGCTACGGGCTGATGTCAGGTCGACTCGCAGCTTCAAAGACCTCCGGAGGGAAAGGAGCATCTTCCATAGGTGAGCCACAATCAACACCAGGGCAGATGAAGGTTAGTAAGGGACAATCCCAACCATAGATAGCTGCGGCCGCCTTCTTAATTCTTTACATGGTTCTGGGTCGACCATTTTAATACCGGGTTCTGATTGTGCCTCAGGTTGCCTTCAGATTTAGGAGGCATCTTCAGCCCATCGGCCCAAACAACGCCATCAATAGAAGTCAAGGATCGGGGAGGTAGCTTGCGGTCTCGGAGCTTTGTGTGGTTTGATTGGAGCTGCGCTTTCATTCTGCCCCTGTCTTGAACACAGCGATCAAGAGCTATTCACTGGTCAGGGGCTGACTTTTTGCAAAACCGGGGCCGGGGTTTTCGGAAGGGGGGCAAAAGACAAACATCATCTTTCGCCGTTGAGGCAAAAGCTGCCTCTGATCGGTGTCTTGGCCGAAGTTGCGGTGGAACTTGAGACAAACATGTATACACCTGCGCGTGAGGTCAGGATGCGTTTGTCCATGTTGCTGGGCACCAACGGTTTGATCCGTGAGATGTGAATACAATGAAGGCATATGCCCTGAATGGCAATGGTAAGCATGTTATGCTGCCGAGGAATGGTTGGGGTTGGGCTTGGGCAGTGGAGCTAGGGTTTCTTGCAGGTTTAAGGTTGGGTTTCGGCTTAGGGTAGTTCAGGTTTTGTTTTAGGCTGGGCTTGGGTGTTGTACACTAAGGTGCATTAAAGGTTGTGTTAAGCTTGTTTCCGTCTTGTTTTTGATGTGATGCTAGGCTGGGTCTGGGGCTGTCAACGGTGGTTGGTTGCACTTAAGGACTCCAGGGGGTCTGGATTGATTAGGTGGGATTGGTGGTTTCCCGAATGAAATTCGGGTTTCATCCATCCCAACTCTGCGTAAAATATGTTTTTGTTCACCGCGACTCGTGGTTCGCTTCTTGGCGCTTGCTTGGTCATTGCGGGAAGTTCTTTGGACTCCAATGGGCGCGACTATCCCTAGAAGAAGCCCTAAGCAAAAGCCAGTCTTGACACGGGTGTGCCTTTTTTTGAGGGGACCCTCCAACGTGCTGGAGTTGCTCTTAGTTTTCCCTTAACCCAAAACGGGGGGCTCCCATTTTTTTGACCCGCCGAACTTGTTTTTTTAACCCTTGCTTGTTTTTCAACCCTCAAACCCTGCTTGGGAACCGTCGGCGGGAACCTTGTTTCTCCAACCCTGAGAAATCCTCTCTTTTCAACCCCTCACCTTGTTTTTTTCACCCTCTGCCTTGTTTTTTTTTCACCCTCTGCCTTGTTTTTTTCACCCGCGAGCTTGCTTGTTTCACCCCGCAACCTTGTTTTTCTCACCCTAAACCTAAAACAACCTAAGCCCGCCCCGCACCCAACCCAACCCAAAACAAACCTAGGCCCGCCCTAAGCCAAACCTTGCCAACCCTCAGTATCTCTAAATCAATCTCAAACCAGCCAAACACGCCCAATGACTCCTAGCAATGACTCCTAGCAATGACTCCTTGCATTGACTCCTAGCAATGACTCCTAGCAATGACTCCTAGCAATGACTCCTAGCAATGACTCCATGACCCCTTGCAATGACTCCTTGCAATGACTCCTTGCAATGACTCCTAGCAATGACTCCTAACAATGACTCCTAGCAATGACTCCTAGCAATGACTCCTTGCAATGACTCCCAGCAATGACTCCTAGCAATGACTCCTAGCAATGACTCCTAGCAATGACTCCTAGCAATGACTCCTTGCAATGACTCTTGCAATGACTCCTTCAATGACTCCTAGAAATGACTCCTAGCAATGACTCCTAGCAATGACTCCTAGCAATGACTCCTTGCAATGATTTCTAGCAATGACTCCTAGCAATGACTCCTTGCAATGACTCCTAGCTATGACTCCTAGCAATGACTCCTAGCAATGACTCCTAGCAATGGCTCCTAGCAATGACTCCTAGCAATGACTCCTTGCATGACTCCTAGCAATGACTCCTAGCAATGACTCCTAGCAATATTTATTTTCCCCACAATATATATATATATATTAAAATATTTAAAAGCTACACTCAAATTGAATATTATTGTTTCCAAATTTATTGAATATCAAATTTGATTAAAATTTATTCATGTATCTTTGCATATATAAACTATAGCCAAGTTCAATATTAAAATTTCAGAATTTTATTGAATATTCCATTTGGCTCTAGTTTTATTATATATGTGAAAATATACAAAACTACACCCGAATTAAATATTAAATTTTCAATAGTTATTGAATTTTACATTTGAGCAAATATAATATAGATTTATATATATACTAGATGTAAATTATACCTATTTTTTGTTGAATATTAAATGTGCCTATAATTATATATATATAATGAAATATATAAAACCATGTTCACATTGACTATTATTGATTCCAAATTTATTAAATCTCAAATTTGGGTTAAAATTTGTTCATATATTTATTTATTTATATATATATAAACAATTTTTAGCCAAATTGAATATTAAATTTTCAGAATTTTATTGAATACTAAATTTGGCTATAGTTCTATTACATATATTAAAATATTTAAAACTATACCCAAATATATAAACCTATACCATGCTGATGATGATGATGATCATGATGATGATGATGATCATGATGATCATGATGATCATGTTGCTGATGGTGATGCTTGAACTTGCTGCCTTTTGGCTCAGCAGCTCCAGCCCTCACCCTGCTGCTCTGTCCCCTCCTGGCCCCATGGGGAAGTCAACCTACGTCCAGGAGGCAGGATGGCCAAGCCCAGCTTGGTGCCTTGGCTGCTTGGTGCCTTGGCTGCTCTGAATGCTTGTCCCCCACCTGCAGGCGTAAGGACCGCTGGGTAACCAACAAAAAGGTTGCCCAGCTGGTCAAGGAGGGCTGGCCTTTGACGGAGCAGCAGGCTGGGCTGTGTCCTTGTTTGTGTCCTGTCTGTGCCTTTTGCCCCTGCCAGGAGGAGATCTGGGAGGGGGGGGGTAAAGAACCTGTTTCCATACAGGTTCTAATCAGTGGAGGGTTGGAGGGCCCGCCTGAAAGGCTGGAGCAGGTGGGGTGGCCCTGTGCCACCCCCCCCACCTATCACCCCCAAAGAAGGGGCTGGAAAAGCTGCGGGGGTGGGCCCTGCGCCACCTTAGCAAAGGGGGGTTGGCCAGGGTGGGGGGCTAGTGCCCACCCAAAGCAGGAGCAGGGCTTGACCCCCATCATCTTGCCCTGTGCCAGGAAGCCTGGCAAAAGGGCAAGGATGGTGGGGGTGGCTTACATTCTTGAGCAGGAGCAGAAGAGGCTTACCACTGCAAACGCAGGGGGCACTGGAAGATCCAATGCTCTGAGATCTGGGATAGTGCATGGCAAGGGTTGTTAAACCCAAGGGCAGTGGAAAGGGTCAGGACTGGCAGGGGCAGGGCTCCCTTCTCTTAAGGAGAAGGACAGCTGCCTTGTACAGGATTGGGCAGATCAGAAGTAACTTGGGTGTGAGAACTTACACCCAGCTTTTTGGTCGCCCTGACTTGGCTGCATTGGATGGCTGCTGGGAGTGGCTGCAGTAGCCCTGCTTAGCAGGCCTGAGGCATGAGCCACCAGGTGACACATGAGTGAAGCAGAATGAACACAGCAGACATGAATGAAGAGCCAGACATGAATGAAGCAACATGACCAGCTGGCAACATGATGTGTTTTTTTGGCCTAAATCCAATGCAGCCCTTGTAGAAAGCCCCTACCTGACCACTGGCCACCACTTGGTGGTGACCAACAGGTACGCTGTTGTTTCTTTGTGCAAGAAGCTCACTTTGTCTGCTCAGGAATGTAAGCATGTGGTGGCTATAGACAAGAAAGTGTTTTGAGCCCATTGCCCCCCTAGCTTGTGCGTGATGCTTGAGGCAGCTCCCTGGAAAAAGGAATGAGTATATAAATGAATGATAAATATTATGTAACTATGAAGAATGAATAAATGGATAATAAATAAATGAACTGATAAGTTGAAGATAGAGACAGACAGACAGACAGACAGACAGACAGGCAGGCAGGCAGGCAGGCAGACAGACAGACAGACAGACAGACAGACAGACACACACACACACCCACACACCCCAACACCCACACACCCCACCACACACCCCCACACACCCAAGCAATACCTTTTGTTGGGGTTGGCACCCTTTAGAGGGAAAGCAAAAGGACAGCACCCCATGAGATCAAGGCCCATGAACCACGAGCGCGACCTGGCCCATGGGATTGACCAGGGCAGTGTTGTGTCTCCCTTCATTTGCTGGTTTTAGGGTGCCCCCACACACCCAACCACACACCCACACACACACACCCACACACACAGACACACCACACCCACACACATACACACAGCCACACACACCCACACACACCCACACACCCACACACCCCCAACCCACAAACACCCCAACCCACACACACACCCACACACACCCACACACACCAACACACACCCCCACCAACACCCACACACACACCCACACACACACACCCACAGACACATCATCACCATGATCATCATCATCATCACCATGATCATCATCATCATCATGATCATCATCATCATCATGATCATCCTTTCTTTTCAACCCCTCACCTTGTTTTTTTCACCCTCTGCCTTGTCTTTTTTCACCCTCTGCCTTGTTTTTTTCACCCGCAAGCTTGCTTGTTTCACCCCGCAACCTTGTTTTTCTCACCCTAAACCTAAAACAACCCAAGCCCGCCCCGCACCCAACCTAGGCCCGCCCTAAGCCAAACCTTGCCAAACACGCCCAAACCCACCCCAAACCCACCCTACACTAAATCACGCTAAACGAGCCCTAAGCAAACCAGAAACATCTTTTGTCCAACCCTAAACACACCCCAAGCCAAGCTACACCCACCCTACACCACCACAGACCTACTCGAAACCGCCCTAAAGCATACATAACCCACCCCCAACCAATCCCAAACCGACCCTAAACCAACCCTAAATCAACAAACTAAACCAACCCTAAACCAACAAGCCAGTCCTGCACCCAACCTAAACTCACCCTACACGAACTCTAAACCCACCCGAACTTTGATCCAACCGTAATCCCACCCCACACCTTAAGCTTAGCCTAAGCCAACAATAAACCCACCCTAAACGCGCCTAAACCCCAATCCCACCCTAATCTAGCCTTAACCCACCGACCCAAAACAACCCTCAACCCGAAAACAACCGTAAGCCAATCCTAACCCAATCCTAAACCCACTCTAAACCCAGATTTAACCAATCACGAACCACCCCGAAAACCAACCTTAAACTCAAGCCCAGCAAAAACCAACCCTAAACCAACCTTGCCCCCACCCTAAACTCACCCAAAACAACCCTACAACCTCAAACCAACCCTAAGCCCACCCTGTACCAACCATGAACCCACCCTGATCCAACTCTAAGCGCACCCTGAGACTTTGTGCTGAGCTTGACCCAACCCTAAATCCAGCGAAGCCAACCCTAGGCCAGCCGCAAAACCAATCCACATCCAAGCCTAAACCAAACCCAAACCCCACCCTAAACCATCCCAGGCCAACCCTGAACCAACCTACATCCAACCCAAAACAAACGAACAACATACCCTTAAACACCCGAAGCCCACCTGAAATCAAGCCACCCCAAATCAACCCTAAGCCACCCTTGAGCGACCCCAAGCCTCCCCTAGCGCAACCCCAACGCCACCCTAGACATAGACAAACCGCAAACCCGCCCTGAACCTACTCCAGCACAGACCTGCTCGAAACCAACCTTAAACTTAAACCAACCTCGAACTTGCCCTTCCCATCCCAAACCAACCCTAAGCCCACCCTCAACAAACCCTACCCCGCCTCTAAACCCTTCCTACACAAACCCAAATCCCACCCTAAACTAGCCTTAAATGCGAGGTTGCCCAACCTAAACCAACACAAAACCGACCCTAAACAACACCGTAAATCCACCTTTCCCATCCGAAACCAACCCTAAACCCACCTACCCCCCCCCGCCCGAACCCACCCTAAACCAACCCTAGATCCAAAACCACTCCTAAACCAACCCAACCCTAAACCGTTGCTTAGTGCAGTTGCCGCAAACTTCGGCCACAGGGTTGGCAAAAAAAAATGGAGGGTTAAAAGGAAGAGGTGGAGGGTCAGAAAGAAAGGGGGGAGGGTTAAAAAAGAAGGGGGGAGGGTTAAAAAAAACGGGGGAGGGTTAAATAGAAAGGGTGAAGGGTTGACAAAACAGGGAAGGGTTGAAAAAAAGGGTTTGGAGGGTGAGGAAAAAGGGTTTCCCCAAGACGGGTAACCCCCAAAAACACACACACGCGCCTGTGCTATTTCGTTGGATCTTTGGACTTGGAGCTCCTGGTTGAATCAGGCACCGGACTTTCCGAATGCCCACAACAAGTGTTTGCGAACGATTTGCAGAGGGGTCAACAGCAACCGCCAAGACACGGTGAGGTGAATTCCCACACGTCCCGCGAATCATCCATTTGCTTCAGAAGATGTTGATTGTTTTCCCTTGTTGGTTTTAAAGGGAATCTCTATCACTACTGTTTTTGGTCAAAGGGTTTGGTTACAGGAAAATCTACAGGAAATTGCATAAAAACACCCTAAATCAGCTGTTTTTTCGTAGAATTTCCTGTAACCCAACCCTTTGATTTTGATTTTTCCCTAAAAAAACATATTCTTCCAGCGGGCGAAGGTGGAAGGAATGGCAACGTCTGGCTCCGAGGCGAGCTACGGGCATGGCGCCCGAAAGCCGACCTGGAGCGAGGCCTGCGGTTTTGGTTACCCCGAGTTTGTATAGAGAGGCAAAACCTGACATCCGCGGCTTGCACCAGCGACAACTGCGCCTCCAGTATTCGTGCTTCATCCATCAACCAACTTGGGGCGAAGCGGTTTTCTTTTTTCGTCCGTCCACGATTTACAGTAAGGTGGTTGGCTCACGTCATTGTGACATCAAAGCAACTGGCCGGTTGCGGCCCAGCCTAATCCCGCGGATCCCAGACTTCCAGGATTTGTTTGTGTGTTTGGGGGTATCTTCCATAGTCCCAAGCCAGTCTTTCGTGGACCGGACTACCATCTCTTTGCCATCTTTGGTGTTGTAGTGTTTTTTAGTGGGCCTTTGGCCAGTAAGGCATCTTTGATGTTTTCAGTGTTCTGCTTCTTTAGTAGGCCTATGGCCAGTAAGGTAAGGCGGTTCAACTACCCAGTGGGGACTCTAGGGCCTGCGGAAACCACACCTGAATACTTTACTTTAGAAGAGCTGCGCCTCATTTGGGACTTAGGGCAACGCTGAAGAGTTGAATCGGGCTTCAACCGCATTCATGCTGCTTGTTGGGCCTATTCCAAGGTTCAGAACAGCCGGGGGGGTTCGGAACAGCCGGCGGGTTCTCGCGTTGCTTCGCTGGGCTGGGCTGGGCGCGGCGTCCGGGATGAAGAGATGCGAGGCTTGCAGCGCAGCTGGGGGCGGGAGAAGCCCGCGGAGCCGAGGCGGGCCATGAGAGACGTGGCGGGAGCTGATCGGCTCGGGAGCCCAAGTTTGCTTTCGGGTTCTCTTTCGGGTTCTTTAGGTTTCCCTATGTGTTTTTTTTAAGGGGTTTTGGGGTTTGGATACGTTGAGGGCCTGCGTTTGTTAGGGTTCGCTTTCGAGTTGTTTAGGGTTCACTGGTTTTGGTTGAAAGGGGTTGTAGGGAGTTTGGTTGGGTTCCCGAAAAAAAGACACCTATGAATGACTTACCTACTGTTGGACGAAATCCATGTCGCACCATCGTTCAGAAACCCGGGTTTCTGATTCGATTCCCCAACGTAAATACCAACAAACGTTCTGGTTTCAAAACCATGGCTTCATTTCGTGGCGCGAAGGGATTTCTTTCATTGGGGAACCCTGCAAGATGGCAAGGGTTTGCTTTTTTGGTTTCGAGTGAGTAGCACAGACGGGCAGTTGGAGATCAACGGGTTTCAGAAGCAACATTCAGACGACCGGAAACAGGTTTAAATACACAGGGTAAAGCTTGTGCAGGCATCCTAGAACCCCTTTGTTAGAACCGTACCCAAGAAACTAGGCGCGGACTCACGTGTGATGTGGGCTCTGATTCTGCTGACCATTCTTATCTCTCGCGCTTCAAATTGGCCATGCGGTGATTGGATAGGCCTGTACCCAACTTCATGGAATTCTTCTGCACGAATAGCGGTGAGGGGTTGCTTAATTCAGGCCGGTGAATCATAAACGACACCCTGTCTTACTGGGGGACAAGCGAGTGTAGTTTGTGAATCATCGGTGCAGATTCTTCGAGCACTGCTCGGGGGGGCTGTGTCAAAATAGGGGGACCCAACAAGAAGCGTTTTTTTGTTTGTTTGTTTGTTTCCGTTTAAAACCATCCCACATTTTGTACCCCCGAAAAATACAGACCCACATAGTCAATATCCAGGGGCACCACAGATCTGCAATATGGCAACACACACACACATAGAGGTAAGTAAGACAGTGGTTGGAGTTCTCTTGGCGCCCGTTGCAGAAATCTTCAAGCGCCTTGCATTCGCACTGACCGTCGGACATTTCCTTGGGCCCCGCGTCAGCTGTTTCGGAGTACCTACTGGGACTGTCGCAGGGCTTTCTTCCCGCCCAGTGGCATCCGAGCGATTTTGGGGGGCTTGGTCCCCCCAAACCCCCAAGACAACCATACATACGAACATGTCCACTTTCTCACAATGGCCACCAGCTCGTCACGTGGCCTTTTCTTTGTCTTGGTGGATTAGAGTTCTGTTTGAAAGGGCAGACAAAGGGAACCCATTTCGGCCCGCAATTCGGAGGACCGAAATCATTGTTTTGATCCCTTTTTCGTGCTTGGGATCTTCATGTTGCGGTCGAAAATGTTCACTACACATGACCGCAAATCAAGACCTGACTTTTGCTAGGTTTCCCAGTAGTGCCCCTTGACCAACTTTTTTGGGGGGTTCCCCTACAAAAATAGACTACAGACAAAACATCGGGTACCCTTATTCTGCCCTCTACTGATGGACCTAGTAGCAGTTTACCTCCGTGAAACCTGCTTGACTTGTGTTTGTGGCATTGTTTTTGTGAGTGGACCCCAAGAATGGCTGTTTTTTTTTGGCTTTCCATTTCAACCACCAAAAAGGGGGCAAAATGGCTGTGGCTCAAAAAACCGGTACCAAAATGGGTTGCCCTGGTAAGTGGAAGCATGGACCAACACCTGCGGCTTGCCCCTCCTGTTTAATTTTGAGCCACACCCAAATCGGTGTGTATTCCCCGTTGGTTCTGGATCGCCTTCCGCGCGTTTCGTTTCGTTCGGCCCATCGATCCGGAGGCTCCCGCAGATCGGATCCAAGGCACGGGCGAGGGTTTCGGATCAGCGCAACGAGCCGTGGGGTTCCGGGAAGTTCTCAGAGAAGCGTTCGGAGCCGTTTGGCTGGTAAAGGGAAACCAACAGAAACACCATTGAGCCACAATGAAACCTTTGGGTATATGACCCATGGCCATATTTTGCCCTTTTCAGCGTTCGGACCATATTAATCAACCCCAGTTTATTCATAGGGGGGTGTCCCCGGTTTAATGGGGAATCAGACCACTTTTGGAGGGGCCCCCCACCCCCCTTTTTATAATGGGGTTGATTAAACTTGGTGGCTCCCAGCCATCCGGTTCCTTAGCTCTTTAGATCCTTTTAGTGTGTATGTAGTGGTAGATTCCATTTAAGCCACTGAAAGTTGAACTTTTAGCGGGGGATCTGAGGGCAGCCCAGTTTTGGTTGGTAAAGGGAAACCAGCAGAAAACCGGAACCCCATTTTAGGATATTGACCTCTTAGACAAGCACCCATTCCGTGTGGACATGTTTGAACACTTGGGAACACTTGTCGTGTAGCTGCACTTTCCTGAAGGGAAGAGGTTGTGCAGGGAAGATGTTGGAGATTATCAGGTCATCAACACTTTGTGTGAAAGACTTCAGGATGCAACTTGTTTCTAACTGGTTCACTGGTTCGTGGTTTCTAGCAGATTGCGAACATTCGGGTCTAGCCATTCCATTTCCAGTGTCTACCTGGAAATCACCAGTGAAGTCGCCTCATAAATCGACCTTGTTTTTTTTGGGGGGGGAGTTCGGCTTCTCTGTGGCTTCCCATTCAAGAATCACCTGAGCCACGTCCTCAAAACCCGGGTAGATGACGGTTAGTAAAGGATAGTTCGAACCATACATGGGTGCCTCCGCCGCCTTTGTCGGTCTTTACTTGGTTTTGGGTAGACCATGCTAATACCAGGGTGCCTTCCACTCCTTTGTCAGTCGTTACATGGTTTTGGGTAGACCATGTTCATACCATGGTTTGATTATGACTCACCTGGGACCCTGAAAGAAGCGAAAGGCAGTCTCTGATGGCCGGCGCAGAGTTTGAGCCTCGCCCAACTTTGGCTACCGACGTAATTTGAATGGATTGCATGACAGAAAATGAGCAGCTATCCTACTCTCTTCGGGGGGCAACCACAGTGTGTGTTGTGATTTTGTGTTTTTCTGTTTGTGTGTGTTTCATCTTCACTGTGGTTAAAAGGAACCAAACGGAAACCACAATTTGTTGCCCTCGACCGGAGATTCCCCACTGCTGACCAGTCATTGTTGCTTGCAAATGCTTCGATGTCTCTGCCAGAACCATCGCAGGCACTCCTTTGGTTTTAGACCTCCAGTGGTGCCTGGCAAAGACTATATGAATAGAGAAAGACAACAACGCTTTCCCTTAAAATCCAGTGGGGGTTAGCATAATGATAACCATAATCATAACAATAGTGATGATACATAATAAACGATTGTATCAATAACGTTACTTAGAAAACTATTGTATAACGGCCAACCACAAAATTAATGTTGGCCAAACACATGAGTTACACAACGAGTTGCCCTTCTTACAAGCCTTTTGATTTATACAATAAGTTTACTCTATGATAAACCATATCAACACATTGATGGTTCATTCTCACAATAACGTTAATTAACGGCCAACAATATAAAGTCAACGAACGACACGTAGCTCCCATGGCCGGAGCTCCAACTCTGAGCCCCGGGCGCACCGGTCTTGCGGCAAGCCGACGCCAAGTCTTGCCTCCGAAAAAGTGAACAAACCACATGGCGGCAAATATTTTTTGGGAGGCCCATCAAAATGGTAGGTTTCCTTTCGAGTTTTCCTTTCAAGACCGAAAGCAAAGGGTACCCTGAAAAGAAAACAGAGACACACATGCCGCAAAACCATCTGGCCACGTGTTTTGTGGTTCGGATCGCATCGGATCATCCGGTGAACCCGGCAGAGGTGGCACCAGCTCCGCAGATGTGGGTGTTGGAGCCTGAGCGGCGTCAAAGCCGAGGAGTTGTGGTTGGGATAAGTTCAGGTAGCTAATTGGGGTTGGATTTCTAGGGGTACAATCCATTTCCATTCTGAACCCAGGGATCCGAATCTTTTCAGGCAACCATCAAAAGCCCAGAAAAGAAAGATCTGGTTTTTGAAAAGAACGATGGTGGAAAAGAATGGAAAAGGAATCAACCCCTAGAGGATTGGTGGTTTGGGAGTTGAACCTGGTTCTTGAGGGTAAATGGGAACCCCCTCCGTTTCACCGCCAAACCACCAATCCAGACCGGCGGCTGATAAGCTTGGACACTATCCATGCTTGGGGGTCACATTGGCAGAGATGAACCCAAGGAATGTTTGGGAAACCTCAGGCAAACTTGTGTTGCTTTATTCTCCCTGTTAGTTTTTGCAGGTTTCACTTCTGGATGTTTTTTTTTTTTTTCTCGGGGGGCAAAGAAGCAAATGGAGGGAACCCTTGGCATCTTGGGAAACCTCAGAGATCCCTCGTCTTCAGCTTCGGCATCTCAGCGCATCTCTCTCACCTCGCGGGCTCCGAAGAGCTTCCGAACCCATTTTGCCAGAGCGGGCACCCGGCTTCCCTGGGAAGCGTTTCCCGGTAAAGTCACCCCCAACATACCGAGGGGGTGCCCTTTTTTTTCTCTGTTTTTTTTTTTCCCCCATGGATGCGGGGCTTCTATCGTTTTAGCTTTCAGCTGAACACGGCCCTCACTCTACCAGCAAAATGGTACGACTTCAGATTAAAGAACCTGGCAGCTGAATGAGGTTTTGGTGGTCCAGTTTCTCTTAACATTTGTGCTGAGACACGTGGATTCTTGATGATCCATACGTCACATGCATTAGATTTCTAGGACGCAACTGCAACAACCCCAGATTTGGACAAGAACAATCTACATCCCACCCATGGATCCAACATGTGCCTCAATCGTCCCCTCAGATTGTTTGGATGGCCTTTCCCCCTAGAGTTAGGCTTCTACATGTCGAGGTAGAAAAGCAGCAGTAGTAATTCCTGTGATTCGGATTCTTAAATCGCAGGAGTGCTGATCAGCCCTAGAGTAGATGGCACAGTTCCCCAATGTCTCCCTGGTGCACCAATTTGGGGTGGTTTCTTCAGCAGAATTTATATAGATTTGGATATAGTAGAATCTTGCATTTTGGGTCCAGGAATCAGAGCGACACGTCCTACGTGCCTTAGTCTGGAATTGAACTCGAGCATCAAATGCGGACAAGCCGTGAGTGCCGAATGTGTACAATCCACGTGAGTGTGCCTTTGTCAAAACGAAGCCACGCTTTGTTCGGGGGAACCCCCGATTTTGAGACAAACCCATGTGCAGATCGCCACGCATTGATATGTGGTTCCCTTGAGATGGTTATGTGGAATCTGGAGCCATGGACGTTCCTTGGGGTATTGTCCAGAATATACCCCCTTAAGTGGCCCCCACACCGCCTGCTGCCTACTCGTACCCCACACCCGAAAATAAGCACTTAGAAGCTCAGTCCGGAAGCGGTTCCATGGTCCTTTTGCAGATTCCTTTCCAGTTTGAGACCGCCTCGATCTCTTTGTGATACCCGCGAAGAGGGGAGAAAACCCGAAATATACGCACTCCAGTTTCTTGCTGGTGCGATAGGCAGAAAATAAGACCATAAACCATCCCTGGTGATTTCCTTTCAGGGCCCATTCCCTACTGAGCACCAGCAAGATTTGAGAAAGTTTTCCTGATTTGCCCAGAAAAAAACAAGTGCTTACGAGGCTGGCGCCGCAAACGGCACGTGCCCAGATGCGGTGGGCCCAGGCAAACTCACCGCAACACGGGGCAAAATACTCGGGATTTGAACCGTGCAGGAACCCTTATCTTGGCGGTTCCGAGCCGTCCCCTTGCTTGTTTTAGTTGGTTTAGTGGTTGGGTGTCCACTTAACCCACCACAAGTTAATCTTTTAGCAGGGGATCTGAGGACAGCCCAGTTAAAACGCAATTGGTGCAGCTTCAATTCCCATGTCTTGATGAGTGTATGGGGTGCGTGCCCATCCATACGGGAGCAGAACAAACCGCACATGATGTCCATTTAGAGATTGGGAGTTGAGTTAGCAAGGATGGTTGGCGATGACCGGAATCTCTTTGCACAAGACAATTACACCAAGGCCCACTTTAGACAGAGTCAAAACAGTTTGTGGGCAAAAGCTGAATTGCGTCTGGAAGGTTGAGAAGCCGCAAGTTAAGCAGTTTGGATTTGCTTGCCTTCCGCTCCGATTCGGCCTCCAAAAAATATGCCAAGGCTTCGGCTTTGCTCTGAGCTGCCTCTAAAGCGCGCCGAGGCCTTCGCTCGGAAGGCGTTCGATGCTTTCGACGCTCGGAAAGGACGCGTGGATTTGACAACTCCCCAGCATTCCGAGAAGCCAGTCTTCAGGAGTCTCCAGTTGAAAAACCGCCGTTCGGAAATCCACGTTTGTGAGCGAGTATTGGCGATTGCGCGGACGTCTTGGATGTCGCCAATGTCCGGCATCCCCAGCATCACGAAGGCGCCACGCAGCATCTAGGGATGCCACGGCGTTGCTGCACAGAAACCAAAACAACATGCGTCTTGCAATCAAAATTCGATTTTGTGGCGAGTCACAATCAAAACTCGGGACTCGCCAGAAATAGGTGGCGGATATCCCGGCCCCTGCTTATTTGCATGATTTTTAGCGCATGCTTTCCGCCAAACGCGCAGACAGCAGCCCAGCAGCGGAGGAGTATCACCAGCCGGGATTCATTGCATTAAGCGTCGCTCGTGTCAACAACCCAGCCCCGTAGTATAAGAGAGCTAACAGCAAGGTGTGGGTCTGTGGGTGTGACTGTGACTGTGTGACTGTGTGGGTGAATGTGTGGGTGAATGTGGGATTCTCAGTCAGCGATCACAGGCGAAGAAGTCAGCTTGAGGCAAAAGGCGCATTTGAAGGTCGCAAGCTTCTTGTCTTTTGGATTTCGGTTTCCACATTCCACTTGTTGCTCTTTCATCTCTGTGACTCGGACACTTCGCGAGGGCAACTACCTTCCCGCTGCCAACAGCCTGCATTGTGCAAGGTGAAATCAAGCCGGAAAGCAAACTTGGGTAGATGAAGGCTTGGGACAGTCCCAGCCAGACATAGGCCTGGTATGCGTCCTTTTGATTCTTCACATGGCTTGGGTAGGCCGCTACAAAGAGGTTTTGATTAAATTTTCTTTGTTGCGTGTTGCTTGGGATGTTAGGACTTTAACTTTTTGCCAACTAGTGGGTTTTCCATTAAACCACTCAAAGTTAAACTGTTTCCAGGGGAGAAAGCAACCGAGTCTTGCTCGATTTGCTTAGGCTGAAGAGCGTGGACTGCCACATGCTGAAGAAGTCCCATTGGCTCTGGCGCGGCCGCAAAGAGGGAAACGATGGTCTCGGAAGACATATGAGCCACGATCAAAACCCGGGTAGATGAAGGTAGGTAAGGGACAATCCCAACCATAAATAGCCGCGGCCGCCTTCTTAATTCCTTGCATGGTTGTGGGTAGACCTTTTTGGTACCGGGTTTTGATTGTGACTCATATGGCTGTGGTTCAAAGCCAATGGGATCCCATTTTGGGGTAGGCATTTTAGTCTATTTTAGTGGGGATTGGGATGTTCACTGGGGGTACGATTTGAATTTTGACCCATGGCCATATGATTTTCAGCGTGACCATAAAAATCGGCAGCAGGCGGGGCGAGTGGCTGGAGGCTTGCAATTTTTTGAGACTTGGTATGATTTAAAGGAGAAAGCATCTGAGTGCTTCTCAAAAGGTAGACCCCTTTTGGGTTGCTATTTAAAGGATTTCCAAAGAGACCTCTGTTTTACTATATCTTTGACAGTCTTTGTTTCCTTCCCGTCAGCATAGCCATTTTGCCATCCGTGTAAGCAAGGCACAGCAACAATCTAAGTGCATGGTGCTCTTCCTTTGTACGGCCCCTTACTTAAACCATTTAACGTTTTCAAGCAGCAGTTCTCCTTCCCATCCGCCTCCAGTTGTTCTGGGGTTTTCGATACGAGGGACAAGTATTTTGTGCCTAGTGACTGACATGCACGTATTCCAGCACTTAGTTGCCTCAAAGGTTTAGGAGCATGCTTTGCAAACTCTGTCATGTCTGTTAGGGCAGCAGTAGGGTTTTGGCAGACATGTTACTTGCAAGGGCTGCAGGAAAGCTCGCCTGCAGTTGGTGCACTTGGGACGAAATTGGGCCCATTCTGTGCGCTAATTGCTGCTGTGTCCAGCGGTAGTGACTGCTGGTTGTCCAGTGGCACACGTGGTTTCTTCTTTTTGTGCGGGCTTCTCCCGAAAATTAATCACCAAAACCGGTACCCGTTTGCAGGGGCAAGTCACCGGGCAAGTAGGACTTCGAGAGTGTTCCCCTTGTTGAACCTCGGACGACTTTTGGTCGGGGTCCAAAAGCTCCTCACCTATCATCAACTGATGGATTGCCTTCTTTTGAACCAACATGGGACGACTATTTTGGTACCAAAATCTGGGTGAATTATAGCGACCTCACACGACCTCACCCCAAATGGTGGTTTATGTGGGGAATAGCCCCCCAACCACCATATTTCAGGAAGTTCCGGCCGGTGAAATAATATATTTCACTCAGAATCTTTGGACTCCGCCAATCCACCTGAGCCCCTTTGGGCCGCAAAGCCCATGATCTGAGCGAGCGGAGCGGAGCGAGGTGCTTTCTGCTGGAGGGCGGGCCAAGGCCACCAAGCGTCCCAGCCACGGTGGAGGCAGGGAACAGTCCCCTTGGAGAGCCGGAAAGTGCTTGGCAACTCCTTGTCTCTCTCTCTCTCTTCCTGAGGTCCTGGACTTTAAGCTTTTTGGGTTTGGACAATTTTAGTGGTAAATAGCAGGTTTGGACCTTTTTGTGGGCCGTCCATTCGGGAAGTAAGTTTTGACTGTTCACTGCACCAAAGAAGCTTTGGTTCCCTCCAAGTGGTTCTATCACTTGGCTTTTGCGCGGGCTATAGTAAGGACTGTGTCGCATTTCATAAGCTTGTTGTTGGTAGAATCCAAAGTGGGCTTATTTTTCGGCGCTGCGTAGCTAGTTCAGCTTGGGTTGCTTTTGTCTGGGCTGTTGAAAAGCAATCCGCCTGGCCCTTGTTTGTGGTTGATTGAGACTCATGATTGCAACAAGGTTTGAGGGCTACTTTCAGTGAGTGGTCAAGGAACTTGCTGGTTCTCAGCAGGGAATGAGGGAATGACCCCTAGAACCATTTTTATGGTTGCCTGTAAGGGAATGCCTCTACCTATCGCACCAGCAAGGAAATGCAGGAGAGCAACCCATGTTGGTATTGCAAATTTCACGATTGCATTCTGATACGGCCACAGAGGCCCCAGAGGTTCCTCAGGGTTTTGGGGGGCCGCATCCATCAGCTATCCTGAAATCCCGCTTCGAAGGCAGATCTCGACTTTCGGCGCCTTGAGCTCTGGTTTGTGGCACCAGTTTCCTGCACTCGTTGCGGTTTAGCAATCCAATCCTAACACTGATCACCGATCCATCTGGAAAAAACCATGATCAAGTGAAACCAATTACTGGTAATGTGTTGCCCACCCATGTTTCGTATATGTCCTCCTCCTCGGGGTTTTGTCAACTCTCTCGCATCTAGTTCCAGGGTGAAACATCCAATCGACTCTGCAGGAAAAGCTTTGCTGCCTCCAGGAGCACTTTGAACGGCGGGGAAGCTTCAGTAACGAGTGCGAACGGGACTTGGGCATGTCGTTTCTTTGGAGGGCGGACGGGACCCCCCCCCTCCCAAACAATATATATATATATATATATTTTTTGGAGGGCAAACAGGGCTGATGCAAAAGACTCCCACCGTGTCAAGGACACAGCCTGCAAGGCTGTTGCGCGTCTTCGCAAGCGTTCAATCCTCCCAAGTCGGCCTTCATGAAGACCGAGAAGATCCGCACGCATAGCGGGCGCCACAGGATGATCAGCGACCTGAAAGAGAGCAATATTTCACAGCAAGTGGCTATGAAATTTGCAAGAATTGGCGATGTAAGAACTTTCCTCGGCTATGGGGAACTGACTGAAGAGCAAGTTGGGCATGCGCTAGAGCATAGTGGCCATCTCAAGGACAGGCTGCAGAAAGTGTATGCGCCTGCCCCCCCTCCCCATGTTGTATTTTGAGACAGACTCACTTGCAAGTTGTTGCATTGTAGGGCTTTCCTTTCCGAGAACCCCCTTGATGATAAATAGGAGGCATCCCATCAAGAAAGAAAATCCTTCACTTTTGGGAACACATTCCGTCGCTAAATCGGTCAAAGTTCTGAGTTTCAATGACAAGACCTCTCAGCCATCCCAATGATAGACCATTGTTCCTTTTCAGGTTGGTTCATGGGTAAACCAAAAGGACAACCACCATCGATTGACAGACCCCCATACTAGGTATGAACAGCTGGCCAAGTCTTAGAGTGTGCTGCAGGTAGGCATCAAATCCAAACCCTGATGCGGTATATGGCACGTGGGTGTTTTGAGGGTACCCCAATTGGTAAAGGGCACCAAAAGGAACCCACCATTTAGGGTGTTCCAAAAGGACACATCTACATTTAAACACGCCGAACCCACACTCCATGGAAGCCATGGTATCCCTCGAAGAACCCATTCGGGAGCTTGTGAAGTGCTTTTGGGGTTCACCGGGTTTGCCTTTCCGCTTGGGTCCCCCCCACCCCAAAACAGGGTCACTGGTTGCGTCAGGAACACATTCTCCTTCAGACGCTGTTGAATTGAGTTTCTGTTGGGCGGGTGATGTGATGTGGAGAGCCGCGACAAGCCATAGCTGTCAACCATCATTTGGATATGGTTGTCGATGATTGAACGAAAAATCCAGGGACGGGTCATGTTTGGTAGAGGGGGACATATACTTGGATGTTCCTCTTACTAAGTACCCTCCCACCAGCGAACACGGAAGCGCACAGACCCCCGTAGAAAGACTACTCGCCTCTTGGAAAGGGCCTTCTTGCACTTCCGTGTTAGTTGGTGGGAGGGTAAACGATGATGAGTTATTGTAGTTGCTGCTGCGCTGCCGGGCTTGGCCAGGCACAAAAGAAGCGTGAGAACAGTCAGGCTTGAGCAAGTGATGCACAAAGTCACCTCTTGCAGCTGCATCGCAGAAAGGAAATGCCCACGCACGCAAGCAGAAGGGCTTTCGATCATTCATGGACTCCTGGGGGTGGCTATGGCGGGATGGCGGGGGGATCATAGCCCCTTAGAAGGGTCTAGGATTTATAGCATCCCAGGGTTGTGGGATCAACAGGTCTATCCCCACTTCCGCGATACAAGGGAATCCCCTCTTATTAAAAAGAGGATTCGTCTTTGGGAGGCCCTTGCGGTTGTATCACAGAAGTGGCCATGGGTCATAACCTATGCCGATCCTTTTGGGGCGATGAACACCCATGTACCACCAATTTTTGATGTTCACCAGGGGTTTCCTGGGTTTTGACAACCACAGAAGTGGGGGCGCCATTTCAAGCACTGCTCTGCCACTTGGTTCCTCACCCGCCCGGCTCCCATGTCCCGTTCCTTTCGAGCGCGAGGCTTTACTCCCAGGTGGAGCGCAGCTGCTTCGCGCAATGGGCTGCGGGCTGAGAGGGGCCAGCGACCGCTTTGCGTTAGGGGCCGGCTGGCTGGGTGGGTGGGTCAAAGGCCGGGGTTTCACTGTGGACCTGTTCTGCAATCAGATGTCCCCAACAACCACTTGAAACCGGGAGAAGCCATTTTTTGGAATGTGGGCAAAAGCCTCAACGGGCTCAAAGCACGTCATGAACATGGTAAATCCTCAGGGATGAGGATAACCACCCCAAACATACGCAATGGGTCCCCTATCTGACAGAATTGTCTGGGACCTCTGAATTGGAAGATGAAGAGAGGCATCGTGAAGAGGCGGCCTTTTTGTGCGGTGAACTCTTTGGGGTTGGTTTGAAGGGAAACCGAAAGGAATCCACCAATTTCTGGCCCCCTGAGGTTGCATGAAGCCAGTGAATCGCCAAAGAACCCTCTTCTCGGATGATCTTCGACGGACGTGCAAAGGAGAAAGACACCTCTGCATGGTTGCAATGCCCAAAGCAGCCGCTGCAGGAACACAGGTCCCCATTACGCCAGGTGCCGGTGCCCTTCAACGTCTTCCGTTGTGATCCATGGTTTACTCATGACCACGAGATGTGAGGATGATATTTCTAGATTGCTGTCAACTACCGTCCGAGACCGCCAAGGATACCTGAACCACAGTCGAAGCCTTGGTACATGAAGGTAGTAGACAGTCCGAACCACAAACTACAATAGTGCCTGACACTGATTGCGACTGACCAGGTGACGCACTTGGCAGTTGCGACCCACGCTTACTAGCAGGTTCGAAACGAGCAAAGTCTCACAAGCCAAATGAGGTAGTTCTGTCTCGTTTGGATGCGTGGTGCCCAGTTTCACGGATTTCACAAAGCAGAACAACTTGTGTTTTGGAAAGGCATGCGTTTGGACGAGGTATACCGAGCTTCCCGATGGGGAGAAACCATTCACCCATGAAGGTCTTTACTGGGTCCGTCAAGGATAGACTTCTTTCCCATCATGGAAGTGCACAGGAGGTTTGTCCAGATGGATTTGGTCGCCTTCCGTTGTCCTGTTGCAGTGGGCCGACGTGGGGCTTCTGACACTGGGGCACGTAGAGGCGAAAGAGTTGGTCTGCGAGATGTGACCTAAACCCAATGACTTCTTTTGGCACCCTTCCTTTTTTTTGGTTTGCGAGGTTTCCGATCGTAGCTCTACCATCGGTTTTGCTTAAAGATTCTTTAGACGCACGCAGTCCGGCCACTTTGACCAACCGATGGCAGCTGTCTCCCAGCGCCCGGCAAATCGAGTGCATTTGAGGTGACCTTGAACTCCGCATCTGAGAGCCAGGCCTCCGATTTTGATTTCGACTGTCAAATGCCCGAGCTTGGGCAACGACACCTGTGGTGGTTTCCCTTTGTACTAGGACTTAGAGGAAATTCTCATGGACCCAGTGACAAGATTGCATGTGCTCCGATGGCCAACATGGAAAGCAACCATGCCCATGGACTGGTTGATCTTTGCTTGAGGCTTGCGGGTAGGACCAGCACGCTTGGATTGATTTGGTGCACTAAGCCAATTTGTGTGCCAGCAGAGGATGCATAGTCCGTTCATCTAAACACAACGCTTAGATGCCTCTAGAGCCGGACAAGCAGCAGCCGTGAAGGTAGCCATTCACTGACACGAACTGCCTTGTTTGCTCTTGGTCCCCCACGGGTCCTTGCCAATGTTGACAAGCGACAAGAGGCCATTTTTTCAGTTAGACTGCCGACCATGGGTGCCCTTGGTGAGTTTGGTGGAGATGGCAATTTGCAAAAGGACGCCTAGGGAAAGCAGTGTTTTGCAGGTCCCACCTGGAAAAGCCATTCGCGCCCAGGTGTGCTGCTTGTTTTTGGAGAGCCACGTTTCGATAGGGAGGAACAAGGTGCTTATCAGGCGGTGAAACCCATCTCAAAAACTAGGTCCGCCAGTAGTGCCCTTTTACCCTTTTGTGGGGGAGGGTTCCCCTACTAAAATAGACTACAGAAAAAAGTGGGTACCCTATTCTAGCCTCTCTACTGGAGGACCTAGAAGAGCTCCTTTCTGGGGAACCGTCCCTCCAATTCTTGGGTTTGGCCAAGGCCGGGCCGCTGGGAATCTTTTTCGATTGTTCCTTGATCCCTTCAAGGCTTCCCTTCAAAGGAGGTCATTTCGAGCAACTTTGACAGGTCATGTCGGGCCGTCCAAAGCATAGGCGTCCTTTTTGGTTGTTTTGGCAAAAGAATAGATGGCCCTTGTTTACCAGGTGGTTTACTCATCTACCAGGGCCATCTATTTCCCCCAAAAGGACACCTATGCTCCAAAGCCCGTTTTGCTTTTTTGTGCTCTTGTTGACACGTGTTGAGCACAATGCCAATCTCAGAAAGCATTTGAAGACCCTTCGGCCAGAATGAATGTCCTTTTGCGGATTTGTGTTTCGGTGAAATGCGATTCAGACAACCGGATTGGTACCCGCAATGCTGGCCCAATTCGAGTCAACTTTCAAACTTGCTTTTGAGGGCTGTTTCCCTTTGAACCACCATTTAGAGGGTCGTTTGAGGATGTTACTTCCATGGACTCATTCGCCCCAACCACGCAGCCTGCAAGGAGGTTCTTGGTGACCATTTTCCTCAGACCTGGTGAGTAGCCCCGTATGATGTCCTGAGGAACAACATCGGGAGATTGACCAAGCGTCAAAAGATTGAAAAATGTGCGAGGAGCCAGAGCAACCACCCCCGTGCAAAGGACCCAGCATTGGTGGAGATGATGGTGCGGCACTGGGCGCACGTCCACGGAGTCTGCGACTCTCTGGGCCAATGCCGAATTCCAGGCACAAGTGGGTGAAGGTCAACACGATGCTGAGTCATCGCGACCTCTATGACCTTTGCAGGACTCCGCTTGCAGACTTCCTGGACAGAGTGAACCAAGCCGCTGTGGCAATTCAGCGGCCATCACACAGGGCACTGGAAAGCATTGAACGAATCCCGCTGAAGTCGGTCCTCATCGCGAGCGAGATGCTGGCGAATCTCCTGAAGGTAGCTGGATCGGTGGTTTGGAGGTTAGGGGATGGTTTCCCATTTTGCCTCCTGCAAGAACCAGGGGTTGAAACCACCAATTGAGGCTCAGCTGAGTTTACTTTTAGTGGTTAGTGGTAGTTTCCATAAAAACCACTAAAAGTTAAACTTCTAGCGGGGGATCTGAGGGCAGCCCAGTTTAGATGGCAAATGCGAGGCTTGGGCAACTGGCTTTTTTTCCCTGCCAGAACCGACCGATGCGCACTGGAAGCTACACCGGAGGCGGGAAACGAAGTCGGTCCAAAGATTTGTGGGAAGCACCGCGTTTTTTTTCTTTCTTTCTCCGGTTTTGGGTCAGGAGCAAGTTTTCGGATTTTGCTGCTTTCGGGTCCCAACAACCCAACAACCCAACAGCCCAACAGCCCAACAGCCCAACAGCTTTGGTTTTTCTCCGGTCGGCTCTGACCAAAGTTCTTTTAGTGTTTGCTCTGATTCTGTCGATTTCGGGTTGCCCCCCCGCATTTGGTGGGCATCAGCCGAGATAAACGAGGTAACGGGGCCAAGGGGAGTAAAGCGTACCTACAGGTGAGTTGAATATCTTCTAGGTGTACTAGGTCCCCCATTAGTGCCCTTTTGCCCCTTTTTTTTTGGGGGAGGGTCCCCCTAGTAAAATAGACTACGTACAGAAACAAGGGTACCCTTATTCTAATCTCTGTACTGGAGGACCTAGTATAGGTACACATAAAATGTTCGAGGCTATGAATTAGTCCCTTGCATCGAGGTTCTGGAGTTAGCGAGATATACGAGAAAGATCTTGGGTTGAAGAGTTTTGAGTTCACCTGAACAGTGGTACTAGCAGCAGGTGAATGGGCTGAAGAGGGCTGGCCATCATTTGCCTCCGGTGGAATGACAGACGTTTAAACTTTAAGCGCCAAAATTCAAGGATGTCCATCTCAGGCGATAGGTGTCTCACGTGCTTTCGGGCTTCCATACCAACCCATGCTTTGAAACCTCGGCGTCAAATGGGGTGGCAAATTGACCAGAAGGCCTCGCGGGCTGACGTTCCAATATAGCACGTAGGCAGGTTTGTGCTAAATGGCTTTAAAGTTGAATGGTGAATACCCTCCAAAAGGTTTGCTAGAAATCTAAATGATGTCCCACCAACGGGTCACGGACAGGAAGCATTGCAGATGCGACTCTCAGTTTCCCAAGCATGCCACATGTGGCCTTGGAGCTTGGAGCTCTCATGGTGTAATTGAGCACGCAGCTTCGGATTTTAACCAGCAGGACTATACTTTCCAAGGGGGTGGTTCCTGTTTTCGTGGTAAAATCAAACTCATTTCAGGGACACCCTGTGCTTCCTCGACTATTCTTTAAATAGCCTCGACCATTCAAAAAAAGAAAGGCTATAACAGTAATGTCCCTCGACCGTTAAAAGTAGGTCTAGACAAACTTGGCCAACTCGAGACGGCTGGCTCCTGACATCCCCGCGCGCTTCTGTGCAGTGAGAGGTTGAAGAACTTGATTGCTGCCTTTTATGAAATCGGCTAAGCATGTTTTACTGTCGCTTCATCCCGTTGTAATCACACGCCGTCACCATGCTGCGTCAATTTGGCTTGTCCCTCACATGCCCGTGCGTGCTTTTCCACTTCTTGTCCACAGCTCCACAGAGTCTGATCGCGTGTTGTGCGTTGATTGTTTAATCAATTTCGAAAGAAAATGAGGCGTGGACAAACCATGGACAAACCGTGGAAAGTACGTTTTTTCTCGTGGAAAGTACGTTTAAAATCGTGGACAACCATACCCCCAGAAGCCCACAACGCATGCCTGATCGGCAGCGATGCCCCGAAGCCACTAAGTTTGCAGCATTTTCAAAAAAGCCGGACTTCAGTACCAACATGCGAAGAATCTATGCACGCCTCTACAGTAGGCGGGACACCTGATGCGACCATACATTTGGCAAGCCGGGGAATGAGTGGCTTGGGCTCAGTCATTTGCAGCTGGGAGGATGAGGCGGCGTGACTTTCAGTGACCTGACCCTAAGCAATTGTTGGGCAACAAAAAACCTGATTTTTGGGATATTCAGGGCCAGGCGCAAAAAACGGTCTTTTGGCAAAAAACAGTCTAGCGACCTCGACCATTCTTTTAATGGCCTTTGGAAGCCTAGGGGACATGAGTTGGATACGGTGAGTTAGTCCGAAGCTTACATTCGAACTCATTCTATGGCAGGGGAACCAAAGAATATCAATGTTGGCATTCGGGATGTCGAGCTGAAACCCGTGACGCAGGTCCCTTCTTTGGGGTTCCTTCTGGTGGATTGTACGATTTACCCAGACTAGTCTACCCAGATTCGTTTTAACCCGATTTGGTATCGCTTCCATTGCCAATCGTTGACATATCAGTGCCCTCGAAATATGGGAGATTCTCAAAATGGTGGACACCCTCTTGGTTCGTTGTCAAAGGGAACCAAAAGGAAACCAATCATTTGCGGAACCCAATTTGGAGAACCACCCACGATCCCACTAAATGGTGATTTTCCCTTTGGTGTCCCTTGAAAACCACCACAAAACGGGTAACTCCAAAAAGACACGCCGACGGTTACGAAATCCATTTCGCACCACCTAGAAACCCCTGGTTTCTGATGATCCCCAACGTAAATACCAGCAACCAGTGGTTTCATCTCGGACTTCGCTTTTCCATCCACGTGGCGCGGATGTCCTGTGACCAGGCGGCGGATGCCTGAGGCCGCCTCAGTGGAAGGCGATCTTGTCTCAGAGGTTTCGTTTGGTGAAGCCGACCAGCCGTTCCAACCAACCAATCTCTTCAGACCGAAGAGTTTTTGCCTTTCGGGTGCTCCCATTTTTGTTTTGGCTAATTGTACCCTTTGCAACGACAGAGAGACCAACATTTTGACTTCTTGTCTTGTGTTTGCTAATGTTCCGTGGCCAACAGGTTGTCACTTTCCGGGGGGCCATCCATCTGGCCCACTTTGTTTCAGGCTTTTCTGGGTGAAAGAGGATTCCTCTTTGCACAAGTTGTAGGGGCTAAAGAGGTCTTACTTGTGTTTGTTCCTTTTTGTTAGGGAAACGGCTTAGTCCCTACTGTGATGCAAGGGAATCTCCCCATATGGCGGGGCTGGTCTTTGGGCAGCCCTTTCTGTATCATAGAAATGGATTTCATTTCCAACAGTTAGGTATGTGGCAAAAATAGGTACCCAAAACGGATCCCTGGAAAAGGAAGCAAGGACTAACACCTGCGGTTTTCTGGTGGTATAATTTTGACCCATACCCAGTTCTGCGAAGGATTACTCATTTGGAGAGAAGGGGGGTTCCCCATCCCATCCCATTTGGAGACCCAGGCCAGGCAAAAAAAACCAAAATCGGGCGAAGATGTTCGCCCATGGCCAGTTGGGAGTTCGTGACCTCGAGCGTAACCTCTCCCCTGCGACATGGCTTCCGGTTTCTCGGGCGCCGGCTCCTGAAACTCCAAAGGGCCCTCGAGCTCTCAAAGCTGCAACCTGTGAACCACAACTAATGTTGTGTTTTGACCTCTAGACAGATTTGGAAAGCTCCTTTGGTTTATATGAAAGGGGGGGAGGTAATAATTTTGTTTCATTGGCTCCACATTCAGTCTTGAGCTTAGGTTTCCCTTTCAGTTTGTTCTGCCTCCATTACTGGTCATGGCTTCCGCCTTTTCTGGCTACATTTCAAGCGATGAGGAGGCCCCGCCTCGCGGTCCGTTGGGAGAGGTGATCTCCAACAACGACATCATTCTCCCTCCAGATCAAGTCTTTTGAGGTGGTCCTTTGGATTGCTTGTATTGCTATGCCTCGAGTGGGGAGGAAACGGAGCAGCCTGCTGAACCGGGCATCAGCGGACCCCAGCCTCGTTGGCGTCTCGGATCCGGAGGCGGACATGGAGGTGCGCCGCCTGATTGACGAGCAGCGCATTCAAGATGAGGCCAGAGAGGCCCTCGAGCTCGCTGTGATGGGTCGTGAGGACTCAGCCAGTTCTTTGCACATTGACTCCATTTTGTTACTGAAGCGGGCTCCAACCTCTCCTCAGTTTGCTTGATCTTTCCTGACCAGGAGTTTAAGCCAGTATGAACACGTGTTTTTCCCCCCACGAAAAGAGCTCTGACCTTGTATTTAAACAAGGGCCTTAAACCTTTGTGTGCAAAGCGGGTTCACGCCTTCATACAACGGGCCATCCCTTATACAGCAGTCAGCAAGATAACATAATCCTTCATGAGAAGTGCATTCAAGAGCAGAGCATTGTTTTGCTCAGCCAACCGGCTCCAACCTTTGGTCAAATAGTTAGCTTCAACCTTGAATAATGAAGTTTCAAGCTATCCTAAGGGGTCGATAGCCTTTTTGAGGGAGTCTGCCCCTCAACAAAAAGTTGCAGGTGTTTCAGTTCTAGGAAGCCAGGAATTCCATGCTCAGCGGAGTTGCGCAAGTGAAGGAAGGGGGTCTGCGGAAGGGGTCTTCTCTGGGTGTTTCCGAAGAAAGTGAAACTTTTAGCAGGGGATCTGAGGGCAGCCCAGAAACGGGAGCCATCATGGGGTTGTTCTTCCCTCTTTCTGCCGCTGCGGCAACACCTCTGGGCCAAACATGACAAGCGCGGCAAAATGCCTCGAGGAGCCTCGGTCTGAATGAACTCTTGCTATGGCCCCAAATGGGCATACCTTCAATATGTACCCCCCTCCCAATACAAGCAAAGCAAGCTTCGGTGATAATTCCCAACAGCATTCATCCACAGAACTTGGCGCCGGAACCCGCCGGAACCGCCCCATCCTCAGAACCCTGTGCAGAACCCAGACTCCACCCCAGAGCTTAGAATGGGCAAAGACTAAAAAGCCTTCAGCTGTGCGAGAAAACGTGGTTTCTGTCTGGTTTCCACTTGCCCTGTCTCCCACTAACATGGCAACTGACAGGGGGTCCCTCCAAGAGGAAACTGGTCTTCCAGGTGCTTTTCCACTTTTGCCAGTGACTCAAAGTGAAGCAAACAATAAAACATATATTCTACAACTGGGCCTAACTCTAGTCATGGTTTGGTTGGGGGCCCCCGGCCTGGTCTCCCCTGGACGCCATGGGTCAAAAGTTCACGTGGCACGCCCCAAGTGGCACACCGGCCGCGCCTTTGTGCCAGGCCGTGGAGAAACCGCAGAGCCGGGACCACGGCATGGGAGTGTCCCCCTTTTTTGGGGTTTGGATCGGCCCCCCAGCAATTGGTGCCCTTTCCCACCCATTTCTTTTTTTGTCCGGAGGGTTCCAAAAAAATCGGGTACCAACTTCTTCTAACCTCTCTACTGGAGGACCTGGAGTTGCTACCCATTTTTGGGTTGTACAAAAGAAAGCAATCGAAAACCGCCCGTCTAAAAGGTTCCCCAGTTTGGAGACAAACCCACAACCAATGTACTCCAGGTTGAAAGTAGACAGTTCCCATTGAGACAAGAACATGTGCCGCCCTCTTCACGAGATTTTACGGCTCCCCCTCTTGAAGGGGGTTTTCTGGATGCCCTCCATGTGGATCTGCTCGTTGCCTTGGCAAACATGTACTCCAGTCCAGGCACCTGGATTCTCTTAGACCGAACCCAGCAGCACCTCTACCTCCATTTGCTGAAGAATATTATTCATTTTCCCTTGTTGGTTTCAAAAGGAGTTCATCACTACTGGACATATGTTTTGTTTTTTTTCCCCCTGGGGCCTGAACCAAATGGAAGTGTAATTAGTAAGAAGAGTTCCTCCTTCAAGCAGATTGATCCAAATCGTAACTGCCTGGAGATCGACTTGTACCATGCGGAGGAGAACGACACACCAGCTGTGGAACAGGTCAGGAAACAGCAACCAGAGTCAGCGTGTCCGACTCGTCTTCCGCAAGGCATCAAACATATCGACAAATAATCGACAAGGGCAAACATCGACGCGCAATTCGTGCCTACTCCAAGATCCTCAGCTCGCCAATTCGCGAGTTCTCTTTTTGTGAAACGGGTTTCCGGCCGGGAGCGTCGTATTTTGGTGGTCTCAAATGGGTATATTGTGCTTTTGGCGTGTCCCTTGTTTAGGCTGGTGAAAGAAGAACACCATGATTCTCGTCTCCCTACTGTGGATGGGCGAAATCCTGCACCACCTAAGAAACCCTGGAATGATGACCCCCCCTATAAATACCAACACACAGTGGTTTCAACCACAGTTTCATTTCGTGGTGCGAGAAGCGGATTTCGCTTGTCCATCCACAGTATGACCTTGCCCCTTTGCGCCCCTTGCGCCTTCTTCCCACACTTTTAGAAGACTGTCTTAGGACGGAATCACATGTGCAAATGAGATCCATGGAGCCCACAAAGGGGTTGTCTTGGTGACTGAAACTCATGATGAAACTCCATTTCTTCAGGGTACAGATTCTTATTTTAGGTTGTTGAAGGAATGTAGCTCACTCAGATCAATAAATGCTTCCCCGGAGCAACTGGTCGCGAAGACGGGGTGGTCTTCAAATCCTGGTGCACATGTTGTTTGTGTGTGTGTGTGATAGACACGCTGTCGCAGGATAGTAAATCTATTGTATAGCCCCTTGCAAACGCAGTGGCTTCGCGTTTGAAGTCTTGGGAGGTTTTGCTCTGCCGTTGCATAGCCTCGCTTCCTGAGTTCCGTTTCGGACTTTAGTCACTTTTTGGGTTTGGGCCATCTTCGCGGTAAACAACAGTTCAGACGTCTTCTGCTCAATCTACTCAGGAAGTCAGTAGCTAAAGATCAGTGCCAGAACGAGATTCTTGCCTGAATCAACAGTCAGAAGCAAAGCATCTGGCTTCCATGTCCCGCTATTTTCCCGGAGCCACAGTCACAGCCTCATTAGGAGCAAAGACAGCAGCTATCACGAAGGATCCGAAACGTTGTTTGTTTCAGACTCGTGAATCATGCCGCGCCTTCCGAGCAACATGGCAACATGGGGTCCCTTCAAGCATCAGCTCCCACGTAGTTCCCACTGCAATATGAAGTACATATATCCTGATCCATCCATTAGCTCAACCCACCCAGCGAAGTGAGGCGCGCAGCCGGAGTTCTTGCATGCCGCGACCTGTCACACGGCCGAGTTTGCGTGGGCATGTCGAGTGGGCCAAGGAGGGGCACGGTGTCGAGGTACCAGGGTGCAATACGTAGATGGCACAATTCCCTTTGGGTAGGCAAGGGGTTGACACATGCCAAACTGTGGGCAAACTGGGCATCCTTTGCTCCTTTTCTCTTTTTGTGTGTTCTTTTTTTGGTTTTTGGGGGGGTGTTCGCAGAGTGTTGCAGGACAAAAAAGCAAAAGAGGCGTTGAAAGCGTGGCGGGATTTGGGGTATTGCGGCTTCCCATGCGATCTTCATGTGGACATCCAATTTGTGAACATCAGCTCATGTGTGCATGTTTCAGCTGCAAGTTCCATATCTGTCATTGACCACCTCACCCACAAAACATGTGGTGTGTCACGTGCACTTGTTCAGAGGAATCCGTTCAGCCTTTGCGGGTTTGCAGGCGTGGCATTTTGACTTAATGCTCCAGATTCGTGACCGAGAATTCAGGCCAGCGCCAGTTGAATGTCCCACCGCGTTCGGCAAGATGTTTTTTTGCCATGTGAAGTGTCGAGAGCAGTTGCAACCTTCGAAGGGTGTCAGTTTCCTTTTCGGTGCATTTTGCTTGGATGTTAGGACTCTAACTTTTTGCCAACCAATGGGTTCTCCATTAAACCACCCAAAGTCCAACTTTTAGCAGGGGAGCAGAAAGCAACCGAGTTGATCTGAACAGGACAAAAACGGAGTCCAACCATCCAACCGTTGTGGAGAAACAACGCATCTGGGATCCAACTGGCTCGGGCCCGAACAAAAACAAAAAAATAAGTCCGTCGGGACTGTGGGGGTGCGGTGTGAGGGTTCGGTTGGTGGTGAGGAGTTGTTCTTTCCGTCAGAATCCATCAGCAGGATATTGTCCAAGGATATATGCCAAAACCACGTGCTAGAGCTCTCTAAGTCAGCTTGGAAAAGCTATTTTTCGCCGGAAGGCAACGGTTGGGGAGTATCTGAGATGGGGAAGCGACCCTGAATCCACTACTTCCAAGGGGAATTAGATTGTGTGCTTTTTGAGGATAGCCTTTGCAAGGTTTGAAGGGACATTTCCCCAAAAGCCCTTCTGACACAATCTCTGAAGATTGGAGACCTCGTGTTTCCTTTGGTTCCGCCAATCACGAACCGCATCCTGCCCCTCATGTTGACGAACCAGCGAATGGGCTTAGTCTAGGGGAACCACCAAAATGGATGTTTGCTGTTGGTTTCCTTTCGGCTTCTCTTAGCCAAACCAAAGGTAAGGGCACTCTTTTTTTTCTTGCCAACAAATCGACACACCCAAATGGCTTTGTCAAATCGGGTACCCAAAGCCAATCGGGTACCCCCTTCCCCCCCCAAAACAAAAGGAAGCTATGTCGACACACCCAAATGGGTTTCTCAAGCAGGGCACCCTCCCCCCCCCAAACAAAAGCACAAAAAACGGGCAAGCTCTGTTTTCTTGTGGCTTCCCTTGTAAGCCCCTGAAAAGGTTACCTTTTTGGTTCCCTGCCAAACATTCCACCCAAACGGCTCACGCCAAAAAGCCGCGCGCCACCCCCCCGAAACCCCCCCGGATCGAGGTGAGCATTGCCAGGGCCCGCTGGTGCGCCAGGATCTCGAGGCGGGAGGTTCGATCCGTTGGACCTCGCCGTTGGGAACGACCTCTTTTACTGGGTGGCAAGCCCAGTCCGGTCCCTTAGCTTTTTAGGTGTCAAGGTTTTCTTGGTTGGCCTAGTGGTTGGGTTTGTGAATGTAACCCGCAAATGAACAACCTATGGGTTCTTAGGTTTTTAGGTTTTTGGGTTCTTAGAGTTTTAGGTTCTTAGGTTCTTGTTTTTTTTTTTTAGGTTCTTAGGTTCTTAGGTTGATAGGTTTTTAGGTTGTTAGGTTTTTAGGTGTTTAGGTTTTTTAGGGTTTTAGATTCTTAGGTTCTTGGGTTCTAAGGCTCTTAGGTTCTTTTGGGTTTGTAGGTTCTTAGGTTCCTAGGTGTTTTTTCCTTTCTTTTGTTTCTCCGGTTTTTAGGGTTTTAGGTTTTTAGGCCTTTTAGGTGTTTAGGTTTTTAGGGTTTTAGATTTTTTGAGGTCTCCCTGCCATCCCTTTGGTTCAACTTTGCCTTTTAGTGGTTTTTAGTTGGTTTAGTGGCGGGGTTTCCGACTTGAACCCGCTAAAAGGTAGTCACTTTTAGCAGGGGATTTGAGGACAGCCCTTTGCAAGGAAATCCGTTTAAGGGACCTTTGGTTGGGAAGGTTAAAGATCATATGGCCATGGGTCAAAATCCCGTACCCCCAGTGAACATCCCAATCCCCACTAAAATAGACTAACATGGGTGGCGCACCTACACTAAAATGGTACTATTGGGGGGATGCCCGGCTGAGAAGGGGATTTGTGTCCACCATATGTTTTGTTTCAAGCGATTCCCCATTAAACTTCATTGCCATTTGGGTGTGTCTAAAAAATGAGGTGATCCCCAAAACTGCAGCTTTGGCTTCCCTTTAACCCCCCCCCCCCCGCACCCAACCCAAAAAAAACGCATGCAAACAAACAACGTGTTTGTTGGTTTCCCTTGACAACCCCCCCTAAACATTGGGTACCTCGGTTCCCTTTGAAACTATGGTTATGTCTATGCAAAAGGTCGCGCTTTTTCCAGCGCTTGAGCCAATGGCCGTCGCCATTGAATGGTTTCGTGTGCATCATGTTGCTGTTGAACATGCACACTCCCCCTGCAGCCTTCGGCTGCATTTAAACTTCTTCCCATTCAGAAGAAGAAACTGAAGATCTCTCCACCAAATCCCCAGCGCCATCTGCTACTGGAAGACTCGATGGAATCGGAGGTTTTTCCTCCGTAGTGCTCGCCCGTCTAGTAGTCCTCCCTCGTCCGCCAGCCTTCGCCTTTGGAAATGTGACTACCGGGCCCGCATCTTTCCCACGCTTCTCTGGGCCTCCTCGCGCGTAGCCTCCGGATCCAACTCGGTCCCCAGAGCCCCTCGCACTTGGATCGATGCCCCTCGAAGCGATTCCACGGTCCTTCGCGGACGACCAGCCAGAATTCTTCTCCTTCCCGACCTTGATCTGGAAGAAGGTGTATCCTCGCCATTGTTGCATTTGCGAGGTCTTGATGAGCTGTCCAGCTGTCCTCCTCGATGGACCGAATGCCCAAAGGCGATGTGCCCGTGTAAAGCCTCACCTGATCCTCCTCGACTCCAACTCCTTTGCATCCAGCGGGAATTCTCGGTGGATCGGGTGGAACTGGCGGTGGTGGAGGTGGCTGAGGTCGATTTCCTTCATCATGAAGCGGTGGAGGACCAAGACCTCCAACTACTCCTCCTTCTCATGCCGTCCTGTAGGAAACGTCGTCCCTTGTTCTCGCCGCCTGCAATCTCGCCACTTCTCTCTCAAAGATCTCCTCCGCGTCTCTCATCACCCGTAGTCGAAGAGCTTCAAGATCTTCTTCTTGACCTTGTTGTCGTCCTCGGTCTTCTGTGGTCGCCCTGCCAGCAGACACAGGTTGTGCTTGGGCTGCCCTTCGTTGAACCTCAGGGCTCCAAAACGGGTTCACCCCTCCACCTGCCGGTGCATCTCAGGGACCTCTCCGATTTCCACGGCTCCAACTGCCTTGGCCTGACTTCCCATTCCTGGCCTTGACCCGGTAGTTCTCTACTAGCTGAAGGACGCCCGTCAAGTGGTCCACGCAATTGACCATGCCCTTCAGGTTCATCCGAATCATGACCATGCCTTACTCCCGGATGTCCTTGGCCTTCTCCACCAGCCAAGAATGGCCCTTGGTACTTGGTACTACAGCATTGTGGCCGTGCGCCCCAGGACGTCCTCGTCAAAAAAACTCACTTGGCCCAGGTTGTCCGCCGGACCCATGCCCTCGAGACCCACCAGGATGGGATTGACCTCCACCCCGCTCTCGAATTGGTTCACCTGGCCGTTCCAGAATCCGTTCCTGCTGGCCGGGTTGTTCTCCTTGTCCATGGAGACCCCGTAGAGGTCCTTGCCCGCGAAGTCCACACTCCGCTCCGGACCGGTGACCCGGCGAATCCCCCGCCGGTCCCCGCAGTCTCTCCATCCCGTACCACTTCTCGCCGGCGCCTGCGAATCATGGCTTTACCTCAGAGAGGTTGGGCTCATAACCTATGGTTATGTCTATGCAAAAAGGTCGCGCTTTTTCCAGCGCTTGAGCCAATGGCCGTCGCCATTGAATGGTTTCGTGTGCATCATGTTGCTGTTGAACATGCACAGAAACAATCTGTTTGGTTTCCCTTGAAAACCGCTCAAGAAGTGGGCACCTCGGTTTCTTTTAAAACAACCCGCCCCAAAAAAGCCGGGTCCCCTCCGCCTCCAAAAATGGTCCTTAACGAGGTTGTCTTTTTTTCCCATGCCGAGGTACTTGGGTGTTTCACCTAGAAAGTCTATCCATACCAACCCTCCTTGTTACCCTACCCATATAATTTCACCCGGGTTTTTCACACCCGACGGGGTCTAGCGCCGTCAGCGCGTCAACCGCGTCAACCGCCCGTAGGGCTCCATGATGGCGCTGGTGTGGAAGACTCCAGCCCGGGACCTGAAGACCTGCACTGACGGAAGACCTCGTTGGTCCGATTCCTTGGAATCCCCCGAATTCGAGATGTGCTGGGTGGGCCCCCGTTTGTTTATCCCCGGAAGTGTGATGCGGGCCCACCCCTTAAGGGTTCCCCAGTAAAAACGGACGTGGCTTGGTGGACCGCAATTACAGCCGAATTTGGATGTGCACCCTGGGTTCCCAAAAAGAAACAATATCCATGGCTTCCAAGGATGCACTTAAGGGATCCAAAAAAGGGGTCAAAGTACATCTTCAGACCTTCAGAAGGTGAGGGCAAGTGAGGTGTGCTCCTTGAGGACCATTTATCAGCCGGTCTGAATTCCGGGTTCCTGCCCCTCATCTTGTTATGTTATGTACCTCTTACCTGATGATAAAGGCCCCGCCCCTCCCCCACATGTTAAGACCATCCCCCACAAACCCGTGATGGGAGGGTTGTAATGGATCTGCCGAGTTTGTGTCCGCAGATGGCTAGCTATGCCACGATTATGTCGCCGCTCCAATTTGCAGAACCCGAATATTGCCACCTCAACAACCTGGTTCCCTACTTGAAATACAGTGGGTGGACGAAATCCTGCACCACTGAGAAATCATGGGACACCATTGTTGGTTGGTATTTACAGGGGAATCATCATCCCAGGGTTTCTTAGGTGGTGCAGGATTTCATCCGTCCACCGTATGTGGGACATCGGCCGTACGCCTGTCTTTGCGGAAATGTTATGCGAGGTCAAGCCGACCGGGTTTTCTCAACGTTTTGGATCCGCCCTGTTGAGAAGCGGGTGCCTGAAGTGACCCATGCGAGCCTGCCTTGACAGGGGTTGGTCCAGACATAACCATGGCTCAAAGCTCCTGCGGACCATGGTCATGTTTTTTCCCCTTTAGAGGAACTGATGATCATCCCTGCTGTGGATGGACAAAATTCTGCAACGTGGATGAAACCCCAGAAACACTGCACCCATGATTATGCCCTACTTACCATGCCCGTAACTTACTTACAGTTGGGTGAAGGATGGCAGTATTCCCCGTGATTTGGCTTTCATCCCCTTTCCCCAAACACAATTGTGCCATCCACTCACTTCCAGAGTTCCTGGACTTGAGTCACTTTTTGGGTTTGGACCATTCTTAGAGGTGAACAAGAAGGTCCGAATAACTTTTTTGGCCAGTCTCAGGAAGGTCCACTGAACTTTCTAGGGGTGCCTTCCCCATTCTTTCCAGGGGTCCTTCTTTCTAGAAGAAGGTTGGTTGGAAAGAATGGACAAGGAAGCAACCCCTAGAATCTTCTTTTGGGTTTGGACCATTCTTAGTGGTGAACAAGAAGGTCCGAATACTTTTTTTGGCCAGTCTCAGGAAGGTCCACTGAACTTTCTAGGGGTGCCTTCCCCATTCTTTCCAGGGGTCCTTCTTTCTGGAAACCCTCCGGAAACCCAGAGAAAAATACGGCGATCGGTTTTTGACAAAAAAGGTTGGTTGGAAAGAATGGACAAGGAAGCAACCCCTAGAATCTTCTTTTGGGTTTGGACCATTTTAGAGGTGAACAAGAAGGTCCGAATAACTTTTTTGGCCAGTCTCAGGAAGGTCCACTGAGCTTTCTAGGGGTGCCTTCCCCATTCTTTGCAGGGGTCCTTCTTTCTGGAAAACCTCCGGAAACCCAGAGAAAAATACGGCGATCGGGTTTTGAGAAGAAGGTTGGTTGGAAAGAATGGACAAGGAAGCAACCCCTAGAATCTTCTTTTGGGTTTGGACCATTTTAGAGGTGAACAAGAAGGTCCGAATAACTTTTTTGGCCAGTCTCAGGAAGGTCCACTGATCTTTCTAGGGGTGCCTTCCCCATTCTTTCCAGGGGTCCTTCTTTCTAGAAAACCTCCGGAAACCCAGAGAAAAATACCGCAATCGGATTTTGAGAAGAAGGTTGGTTGGAAAGTATGGACAAGGAAGCAACCAATAGAATCTTCTCTTGGGTTTGGACCATTTTAGAGGTGAACAAGAAGGTCCGAATAACTTTTTTGGCCAGTCTCAGGAAGGTCCACTGAACTTTCTAGGGGTGCCTTCCCCATTCTTTCCAGGGGTCCTTCTTTCTGGAAAACCTCCGGAAACCCAGAGAAAAATACGGCGATCGGGTTTTGAGAAGAAGGTTGGTTGGAAAGAATGGACAAGGAAGCAACCAATAGAATCTTCTTTTGGGTTTGGACCATTTTAGAGGTGAACAAGAAGGTCCGAATAACTTTTTTGGCAAGTCTCAGGAAGGTCCACTGAACTTTCTAGGGGTGCCTTCCCCATTCTTTCCAGGGGTCCTTCTTTCTGGAAAACCTCCGGAAACCCAGAGAAAAATACGGCGATCGGTTTTTGAGAAGAAGGTTGGTTGGAAAGAATGGACAAGGAAGCAACCCCTAGAATCTTCTTTTGGGTTTGGACCATTTTAGAGGTGAACAAGAAGGTCCGAATAACTTTTTTGGCCAGTCTCAGGAAGGTCCACTGAGCTTTCTAGGGGTGCCTTCCCCATTCTTTCCAGGGGTCCTTCTTTCTGGAAAACCTTCGGAAACCCAGATAAAAATACGGCGATCGGATTTTGAGAAGAAGGTTGGTTGGAAAGAATGGACAAGGAAGCAACCAATAGAATCTTCTTTTGGGTTTGGACCATGTTAGAGGTGAACAAGAAGGTCCGAATAACTTTTTTGGCCAGTCTCAGGAAGGTCCACTGAACTTTCTAGGGGTGCCTTCCCCATTCTTTCCAGGGGTCCTTCTTTCTGGAAAACCTCCGGAAACCCAGAGAAAAATACGGCGATCGGTTTTTGACAAAAAAGGTTGGTTGGAAAGAATGGACAAGGAAGCAACCCCTAGAATCTTCTTTTGGGTTTGGACCATTATAGAGGTGAACAAGAAGGTCCGAATAACTTTTTTGGCCAGTCTCAGGAAGGTCCACTGAACTTTCTAGGGGTGCCTTCCCCATTCTTTCCAGGGGTCCTTCTTTCTGGAAAACCTCCGGAAACCCAGAGCAAAATACGGCGATCGGGTTTTGAGAAGAAGGTTTGTTGGAAAGAATGGACAAGGAAGCAACCCCTCCATTTTAGTGGTGAACAAGAAGGTCCGAATAACTTTTTTGGCCAGTCTCAGGAAGGTCCACTGAACTTTCTAGGGGTGCCTTCCCCATTCTTTCCAGGGGTCCTTCTTTCTGGAAAACCTCCGGAAACCCAGAGAAAAATACGGCGATCGGGTTTTGAGAAGAAGGTTGGTTGGAAAGAATGGACAAGGAAGCAACCCCTCCATTTTAGTGGTGAACAAGAAGGTCCGAATAACTTTTTTGGCCAGTCTCAGGAAGGTCCACTGAACTTTCTAGGGGTGCCTTCCGCATTCTTTCCAGGGGTCCTTCTTTCTGGAAAACCTCCGGAAACCCAGAGAAAAATACGGCGATCGGGTTTTGAGAAGAAGGTTGGTTGGAAAGAATGGACAAGGAAGCAACCCCTAGAATCTTCTTTTGGGTTTGGACCATTTTAGAGGTGAACAAGAAGGTCCGAATAACGTTTTTTGGCCAGTCTCAGGAAGGTCCACTGAACTTTCTAGGGGTGCCTTCCCCATTCTTTCCAGGGGTCCTTCTTTCTGGAAAACCTCCGGAAACCCAGAGAAAAATACGGCGATCGGGTTTTGAGAAAAGGTTGGTTGGAAAGAATGGACAACGAAGCAACCCCTCCATTTTAGTGGTGAACAAGAAGGTCCGAATAACTTTTTTGGCCAGTCTCAGGAAGGTCCACTGAGCTTTCTAGGGGTGCCTTCCCCATTCTTTGCAGGGGTCCTTCTTTCTGGAAAACCTCCGGAAACCCAGAGAAAAATACGGCGATCGGGTTTTGAGAAGAAGGTTGGTTGGAAGGAATGGACAAGGAAGCAACCCCTCCATTTTAGTGGTGAACAAGAAGGTCCGAATAACTTTTTGGCCAGTCTCAGGAAGGTCCACTGAACTTTCTAGGGGTGCCTTCCCCATTCTTTCCAGGGTCCTTCTTTCGGAAAACCTCCGGAAACCCAGAAAAATACGGCGATCGGGTTTTGAGAAGAAGGTTGGTTGGAAAGAATGGACAAGGAAGCAACCCCTCCATTTTTAGTGGTGAACAAGAAGGTCCGAATAACTTTTTGGCCAGTCTCAGGAAGGTCCACTGAACTTTCTAGGGGTGCCTTCCCATTCTTTCCGGGGTCCTTCTTTCTGGAAAACCTCCGGAAACCCAGAGAAAAATACGGCGATCGGGTTTTGAGAAGAAGGTTGGTTGGAAAGAATGGACAAGGAAGCAACCCCTCCATTTTAGTGGTGAACAAGAAGGTCCGAATAACTTTTTTGGCCAGCCTCAGGAAGGTCCATGATCTTTCTGGGGGTGCCTTCCCATTCTTCCAGGGGTCCTTCTTTCTGGACTTTTGAAGAAAGGTTGGTTGGAAAGGATGGACAGGAAGCAACCCCTAGAGAATCTTCTTTTGGGTTTGGACCATTTTAGAGGGTAGACCTTTTTGGCCAGTCTCAGGAAGGTCCACTGAACTTTCTAGGGTGCCTTCCCCATTCTTTCCAGGGGTCCTTCTTTCTGGAAAACCTCCGGAAACCCAGAGCAAAATACGGCGATCGGGTTTTGAGAAGAAGGTTGGTTGGAAAGAATGGACAAGGAAGCAACCCCTCCATTTTAGTGGTGAACAAGAAGGTCCGAATAACTTTTTTGGCCAGTCTCAGGAAGGTCCACTGAACTTTCTAGGGGTGCCTTCCCCATTCTTTCCAGGGGTCCTTCTTTCTGGAAAACCTCCGGAAACCCAGAGAAAAATACGGCGATCGGGTTTTGAGAAGAAGGTTGGTTGGAAAGAATGGACAAGGAAGCAACCCCTCCATTTTATTGGTGAACAAGAAGGTCCCCAATAACTTGCCTTCCCCATTGGGGTCCAGTACGGCGATCAGAAGAAGGTCCCGAATAACTTTTTGGCCAACTGAACTTCTAGGGGTGCCTTCCCCATTCTTTCCAGGGGTCCTTCTTTATGGAAAACCTCCGGAAACCCAGAGAAAGATACGGCGATCGGGTTTTGAGAAGAAGGTTGGTTGGAAAGAATGGACAAGGAAGCAACCCCTCCATTTTAGTGGTGAACAAGAAGGTCCGAATAACTTTTTTGGCCAGTCTCAGGAAGGTCCACTGAACTTTCTAGGGGTGCCTTCCCCATTCTTTCCAGGGGTCCTTCTTTCTAGAAAACCTCCGGAAACCCAGAGAAAAATACGGCAATCGGATTTTGAGAAGGTTGGTTGGAAAGAATGGACAAGGAAGCAACCCCTAGAATCTTCTTTTGGGTTTGGACCATTTTAGAGGTGAACAAGAAGGTCCGAATAACGTTTTTGGCCAGTCTCAGGAAGGTCCACTGAACTTTCTAGGGGTGCCTTCCCCATTCTTTCCAGGGGTCCTTCTTTCTGGAAAACCTCCGGAAACCCAGAGAAAAATACGACGATCGGGTTTTGAGAAGAAGGTTGGTTGGAAAGAATGGACAAGGAAGCAACCCCTCCATTTTAGTGGTGAACAAGAAGGTCCGAATAACTTTTTTGGCCAGTCTCAGGAAGGTCCACTGAACTTTCTAGGGGTGCCTTCCCCATTCTTTCCAGGGGTCCTTCTTTCTAGAAAACCTCCGGAAACCCAGAGAAAGATACGGCGATCGGATTTTGAGAAGAAGGTTGGTTGGAAAGAATGGACAAGGAAGCAACCCCTAGAATCTTCTTTTGGGTTTGGACCATTTTAGAGGTGAACAAGAAGGTCCGAATAACTTTTTTGGCCAGTCTCAGGAAGGTCCACTGAACTTTCTAGGGGTGCCTTCCCCATTCTTTCCAGGGGTCCTTCTTTCTAGAAAAGCTCCGGAAACCCAGAGAAAAGAACAGGCGATCGGATTTTGAGAAGAAGGTTGGTTGGAAGGAATGGACAAGGAAGCAACCCCTAGAATCTTCTTTTGGGTTTGGACCATTTTAGAGGTGAACAAGAAGGTCCGAATAACTTTTTTGGCCAGTCTCAGGAAGGTCCACTGAACTTGCTAGGGGTACCTTCCCCTCACCTCACTGAGCTTCACCTCACTGAGCTTCACCTCACGCCCAGGAAGGTCCACTGAGCTTCACTTCACCGTACTTCCGGGTGGATCCCAGGTCTGCATCCTCTGCCTCCGCTGCGGTTTCGGCAAACCCGACGACGGCACTCGCGCCTCGGCTCGCTCGTTGCTCGCTCGCTTGCTCGTTCGTCTTTTGGGGGCGCGTGGAAGTGGATCCCGCTGATGGGGATTGTCCAAAGAGGGGATCAACTAGGTGCCCCAGCCATTGGTGCCCTTTCTCACCCCTTTTTTTTTGGTTGGGAGGGTTCCCCTACGAAAATGATTAGGCAGAAAAAAGTGGGTACCCTTATTCTAACCTCTCTATTGGAGGACCCAGTCAAACATGGTCAGCTCCAGAAGGGTCACCCGAGTTGCCCAGTGGATTCCGCCCTTTTTTTGTTTTTTTGGGGAAGGGTTCCACTTTAAACTCAACCAACAAAGAAAGTACACATCCGATAAACATTTCTTGTGGCCCCCGCCGCCCTTTTAGGCGGGAACGTGATTGCCTGTTTTTGCTTGCGCATGCTGACCACATGCTCCTGCCAAATAGATTTAATTCATGCTTAGCCCTTCCCCTTAGTGGGACGGCCTGATTTTTGGAATCGGCCAGGATGTGGGCTCCACTCACTCCAATTGGGGGGGTGGGGTCTTGAGCAATGTGGCGGAACCAACAAAGAAAGGGTGCACTTTTTTCCCATGGCCACTGGGTATCTGAGGGTCACCTCAGTCTCTTCCAAAAGGGTCAGCTCCGAAAGTGCGGAAATTGGAGGCTGCAGCGGAGTTGATGCCGTGGATGGACAAAATCCATTTTGCACCACCTAAGAAACCCTGCTGGTTTCTGATGATTGCCTGGCAAATACCAAGAAACGTTCTGGTTGCAACCATGGTTTCCAAGCGGTGCGAACGGATTTCGTCCATCCACATGTTGGGTCAACGGATGGGTTTGTTGCTCGGGGGCTGCTAACCCATGCGCGCGTGTGGCCAGCTTGGACGCAGGCCCAATCCCCATCTAGCCTCTGCCACGCCCCTGATGCTAGCATGCATGTTGCATTTCGGCGTGCTATTTGTGAGGTTTCCTTTGAACTCAGCAAACAAGGGGTACCCTCAAAAAACAACACACCCATATATGTTTGTCACTATGTCTCTCGCAAGTGCTACACTTGTGCGCTGGCAGCGTAAGGGCAATGATGTTGGTCTTGACCACTATGCGACGCCGGGCAATGTTACAAAGTTGCGTCGCGTGCGCGACCCGCTGCACAACTGCCCCCGCCCCTTCATCGACTTGCACCCTTGCGCAACGCAGGTGTTCCGCAAGGTGTGTGTGTGTGTGTGTGTGTGTCTCCCCCCGTTGACGCAACATGTTCAACCTGTTGCAGGGCAACCAACTGCTCACTTTGGCAAGCTGGAATCTAGTCACCTGCCAATGTTGGGGCGTGACACTCTCAAACAAAAACAGCACCATGGCAGTACCGAGTCAAACAAGTTGGAGGACCACTTTATGGCGAGCGAGCTCACCGATCCGAAAATAAAGCAAGCTCACCATGTGTGCCTTTTGCTTGGGGATCTAATTTTTATGTTGAGTTTTGGAGTAGTAGTGGAAGTTGGAAGGTTCATGTTCTGCATGCTTTCTGGACTGCGCTTTGGAAGCTCTTATTGCAGGTGGGATCCAGGGATCCAATGAAGCTTGATGTGACGTGGGTCTGTTCATCGGGGAGAGGCTGATGACTCGAGTTTTCTTGAGTTTCCAGAAACAAGTAGCGGAGGAGCAGGGATGGGTGTATTTGTAGGTGTGTACTGTGTGTGTGTGGCGTGCGTGCGTGCGTGCGTGCGTGCGTGCGTGCGTGCGTGCGTGCGTGCGTGCGTGCGTGCGTGCGTGCGTGCGTGCGTGCGTGCGTGCGTGCGTGCGTGCGTGCGTGCGTGCGTGCGTGCGTGCGTGCGTGCGTGCGTGCGTGCGTGCGTGCGTGCGTGCGTGCGTGGGTGTGGGTGGGTGTGTGTGTGCGTGTGTGTGTGTGTGCGCGCATTGGCGCTGTTGAGTTTGTACCTTTTCCGGGCCGCCTTTTCTTGCGGCTTCGGTAGGCGCTGAGATGCTGTCGGAGCAGGTCCTTGAGGCAACGGAGTGGATTTCAGCCGATTGGAAGGATATCTCCTTTTTATGGCCAATAGATGTCCTTTTCGGATCTGCCTGGCGTTTCCAAGGGATTATTTTTTGTTTGGTTGCCCTCTAGAGGGCTGCTCAGCTTCTTTGATTTGCAACATGTGGCGTCTCGCGGTGCTCTTGCGGAGGGTATTCAGAAAGATGGCGCCTGTGCCCGGCCATCTTCTTCACTCTGGTGCGGGGCGCTTTTCCGGGACATATGGGTGTGGCTCAAAATTATTTTTTCTAGGGTTATGCAGGTTTTAGTCTTAGTTTCCATTTAGCAAGGGGCCATTGTTGTACATGTTTTGAAGCCATAGCCATATATTTGCCTTGGCGGTGCTTTGATTGCAGCGTGGTTTACGCGGGCTGCTGGGCAGTGCCTTTCCATAAGGCGTTCATCGCCGTCTGGTTGCCACGGCTGCCCGGAGACGGTTCTTGGCGTTAGTGAGCCACAAGCAAAACCGGGGTGGATGAAGGTTAAGGGAGACCCCCAACCAATGGATGCCTTCGCCTTGTTAGTTCTTTACATGGTTCTGGGGATCGACCATATTAGTACCGATCGGTTTTGATGACTCCCAGTGGGAATCGGAACCCCCACTCTTGGTGGCTTCCCTAAAAGGGGGCACACTTGGCTCCATTTGTCACCGGTGTGATGGTTATCCAATCATCAGTAAGCTCCTCAGATGCTCACTCCCTGAGTTCCGTTTCAGACAGTCACTTTCTGGGTTTGGACCATTTGAGTGGCAAACAAACAGTTTGGTTTTACCTTTTTTTCGAACCAATCCACTCGGTCGTCCCCTAAAATGCTTGGCTTAATCATTTCGCCACTCAAAACATGTTGCAATGACACTGCCATCCTCCGATCATTTTTCCGCAAGACCATGTTAGTCGCAAACAAAAAGCTTAGTGACTTTGTTTGAACCATCTTGAGATCACTGGGCTCAGATCGCAACCTCGTCCCCTGCCAACCTAAACCACGGCCGAGTCGAAAAAGCGTGCGGCGCGGCGCGTTCGCGCGCGCGCGGAGGTGACCACCTCCCTGCTGGTGCGGCCCGGGCAGGCGGAGCAACTGCAGCCGGAGGGCCCGGAGAACGGCGAAAAACATTCTTTTTGCGGAGCGGCCAGCGGATGCCAACATCTGGAACGGTAACGAGACCTATACCTGTATGTAGGAATGTATATATATATAGAATAAGATGATTATAATTACTATTATGATTATTAATATGAATCACAAGTGTATATATATATATATATATGTATGTAAATGGGCTTGCCTTTTTTGAGGGTACCCCTTTGGGGTGGGTGTCAAGGGACACCAAAAGGAGCACCACCATTTTGTGGGGTCGCCCTATGTTAAGACTGTGCAAGTGCGTTTGTAAATCTCACACTTGTTTATCAGTGAACATGATAAATATACATATACATAAACGTAATGTACGTATACATATCATATACATATATACATATATATATATATATATATACACATACACATACACATACACATACACATACACATACACATACACATACACATACACATACACATATACATACACACACACATACACACATACACACATACACACATACACACATACACACATACACACATACACACATACACACACATACACACACATACACACATACACACATACACACATACACACATACACACATACACACATACAGACATACACACATACCCACATACACACATACACACATACACAAACACACACACACATACACACATACGCACATACGCACATACGCACATACGCACATACGCACATGCGCACATACACACATACACACATACACACATACACACATACACACATACACACATACTCACATACTCACATACACACATACACACATACACACATACACACATACACACATACACACATACACACATACGCACATACGCACATACGCACATACACACATACACATATGCACATATACGCACATACACACATACACACATACACCCATACACACATACACACATACGCACATACACACATACACACATACACACATACACACATACACACATACACACATACACACATACACACATACACACATACACACATACATACATACATACATACATACATACATACATACATGCATGCATGCATACATACATACATACATGCATACATGCATACATGCATATACACTACATACGCGCACATACACAGGCATACACCTACATTCACAGACACACACACACATACACATACACACATGCACACATACACACATACAAAGATACACAGATACACAGATACACGCATACACAGGTACACAGATACGTGCATGTTGTTTTCTGATTATCTATTCTTGCAGATACAAATCAATTTACTTCCGCAGGGAAGCTGTGAGACGTTTGGCAGGCTCCTTTAGTTTCAGAAGGCGGGTGTCGAACGGCCACACGGCCCTTGAGCTGTTCCCAGTTCAAGCTGACATGTCAAAGGAGCCGATGTCTCATGGTGAAACAATTTGGTTGCCCACTGCGGATGAACAAAATCCGTTTCGCTCCACTTTGAGGCAATGGGAAACCATTGTTTTATTTGCAGGGGAATCATTTTTCATGGTGACGACCTGCATGAGGGTTACAACGGCGCAACAGGAGAGCCACAGATTTGAGCATTGCGCATTTGGGATGACGACAACCCAAGTTCTCACCAGACCGGAACCAATTCTCCAATGTCTTGGGGAAACATGTGTAATTCTGATCGGGGACATGCGGGACCCGCCGCCCACTTTTTCGCGATCTATCCACATCAGACAAAAGGTGCGTAACCGCAGCCAATTTTATGGCCACGATATCGTGTCTTTTTGCGCCCCCTGTTCGATTTTGAAGTGAAGCCAAAAGGAAGCCACCCAAAAAATGGGTTCCCCATAAAAGGTGCCCCTCATGGATGCCGAACTCCTGACGTTCCCATTTTTGGGAGATGTCCTCCCCGAAAGAGTTGATGCTGGCGTTTCTGGGCGGTTTGCCTTGGTAGCCATAGAAACTCCAAAATACCAGTACGCCTTTTGGATGTTCAATAGTGAAGCAACAGACTTTGGAGGAGGCCGGCCAGTTGTTTGGCGGGTCACACGCCTCTGAAAATCTCAGGCGCTCGCAAAGCGACTGGGCCAATGAACAGGTGACCATGGGGTAACCAGCCAGGAAATTCGTTTGGCTTGGGAGAAATGCGGGCGTTTCCCCTTGGAGAAACTTCACCCAACAGGGCGATTTCCCCTTTCGAGCCCAACACAGGAAATGGCAATGTTTCATTCCCAAAACGAGCAAAGGTTCTTCTCCCTTTCACACTAAAATGATGGACAAAGTAGCTGCCCAGAATTTACTAGCTGGTTAGCAATTTTTACCGGGTTGCTGCTATGATCATGATTAAATGTTTGTTTTCAAGTACCCCAACCCCCCCACCCACAAAATTGGATCCAATGCAAAGACGCCGCACAATTACCCTTCAAAAGGTGGTTGGTTTGTAGCCCTTTTGCTTGGTTAACCCAGTTGGGTCGCGTGCCTGAGGCGCTGCATCGTGCGAGTGCTGCGCCTGGAGTGATTGCCTCAGACTAAAGCAAATCGCCCGCGCTTTGGCAGCCAGTCGCTTTGCAACCAAACGGAGGTTTTGTTTGCAAGGCATTGTCAGTTTTTTGTTTGTTTTTCTTTCGCCAGTTCCTTTCTTTTTCACCTTTGGGTTGAAAGCGCTTAGATGTTTTGCCACCTGTTTGATCCAAATTCTGGCCAATTTCTCAGGTATGTAAATCCCAACTCGGCGCGATCCTTGCCAACTGTTCAAGGGCCGCTGGACTCCTCTGATATCCAAATCCTGTCTCTGGCTCTCAGCAGCCCAGGCCGCGCCTTTGTTCTTTGCTAGACGCTTCCGTTGATTTTCCACGGACCTGCATGGTTGTCCAGTTGGATCGGTGTGTTAGGCCTTTGTTGTTCCTTGGTTACTGCTTCCGGTCTTCCACTGTTATTTCTCCCCCTCTAAAATGGAGAAACGGTTGCATGGCCTTCGACCTCATTCCCCTCTCCGGAGCCGCATGGACCATGGCGTATGGTCGTAAAGTGGACGTGACTGGTCGTGGCTGGCAGCAGTGGGGACACCCACGATGTTCGAAGGCTTTCTCTCTGAATTTCCAGGTTTCGCCAGAAGGATGTTCTCGCTTTTTGAGTTCCTAGACTTTATATACTTTGTTGGAAGACCATTTTAGTGGTAAATAACAAGTTCAGACTTTTTAGCCCACGCACACGCACACGTGCACACAGCCATTTGGAAACCTACGGTGTTCTTTTTGAACGCAGCCACTTTGCCGTCCCAGGAACAACTGCTGCTGTGTCGCCATGCCCCGCGAGGCATGAGAACACGGCGGCCATGCAGGCTTCCCCATGTTTGCCCTTAGCTTTTTAGCTTCTTGGGGTTTAGTGGTAGTTTCCGAGTTTAATCCGCGAAAAGTTCGTCGATCGGGGATCTGAAAACGGACAGCCCAGTTAGGGGGAAAAGTTCCTCGGAAAAGCGACACACGCCATGTTGAGAGCCAGGCTAGCTCGACGCGGCCAACCCGGAGCCTGTCTCGGGTGGCCGGGCAGCCTAGACCGGAGAACCGCCCCGTTTTGGGACCTGGGCCAGGGACCGCCAGATACCAGAAACCATCAGTCTCCCCCACGGCAGGCACTTTTAAAGAAGAAGACAGCTCGCGGTCTTTGTCGGAGCTAGCGTGGATTTCAAATCTGCCCACAAGCAGATCAAAATTCGGCCGGATGATCAAGGACAGCTTCTGTTCAGCTGTTGCTCGAAGCCCTTCTTTTACCAAGTGTGCCACTTCGGAGCCACGTTTCCTCGTATTACTGGCAGCGACTAGGAGCCATTCTCCTCAGATTGCTCCACTAGATTATCCCAGGCAGACATCGTGCCTGGTTTTATGTGGATAACTACTACTCCTGAAAGAAGCTCAGGGCTCTCAAATGGCAGACTGGCAGTATCTTGGGGTGCCGCATTCGTATTTTGACCAAGGCGGTTTTCTTTTTGAGGCTACCCTTGGACAATGTTGTTTTAACTCGCGAGATCATTTGAACATCTTTTGCCTTTGTCTCTTTTGAGGCTTGGCCGTCAAACCATGGTTCACCCTCCCCATCAACATAGAAACTGACGTGTTTTGGGGCTCCTGAACTGGAGGAACTGGGTCCCGAACATCAGGTCGGGCTTGGTGGGTGGAAGGGTAGATTGGAGGTAGCGCTTGTTGCTTGTTTTTTGGGATTGAAAGCGCCATCCACTTGGCTTTTGGTGGTTCCCAGCCATCCACTTCGCTTTTTCGCTTGCTAGCTGGCTTAGTGGGTTGGGTGTCCGAATTTACCCCACTAAGCGTTCGCCACTTTCGATCGGGGATCTGAAACCGGACAGCCCAGTGGGAAACCGCACCCCAGTGGAATATGGGAATGACCCCGAGAAAAACCATCCCCGATTTTGGTTTTCTTCGAAGGCAATCCCGACTTGTTCATTCCATTTCTCATTCCCCACCTGTCGCAGCAATCGCAAGAAAACCTCACCCCGCCCCCAACCCCCGGAACCCCCCCTACCCCCCCTAACCCCCTCTAACCTCCCCTAACCCCCCAAAACCCCACCCCCCTTCAACCTCCCTAACCCCCCCTCAACCCCCCCTACCGCCCCCGCGGGGCTCTGAAAAAACGATGCCCCGAGCTCCGCGTCGGGTCGAAGGCCTCCGTGTCCTTCGCGGCGCCCTCTGCCGCCATGGCCGCGGCGGCTACAGTGGTGAAGAGGCCACTGCCTCCCTCGCTCGCCCGCTCGACGCGGGGGGCAGCGGGTTCCCTGCACCCGGTTCCGGCGGAGGGTCAGAATTTGTGGATTCTTTTGAATGTTCGGCTGGCCTCATTCTTCTACCATTCTCAAAGTCACCCCCTAAGTGGTGGACTAAAGGGAAACCACCCCGGGTTCTGACCTTCAAAACCCTTAGAAACGGTCAAAATAATGGTTTCAGGTAGGCGGAGGTTTTTTTGGGAACCAAAGGGCCAAAGGGAAGCCTGAGACCCCAAAGCCCAAAGGTTTGTGAGATGGTTTTGAACATGGCTCCGTGGAATCCATCGAGGTTCTAACAAGGTGGGACAAAAAGTCTGCTGACCAACGGATGAAACCCTCTGAATACAGTGATACACTCCAACTGGTTCCTAAATGATAACGCCGATATGGGCCATGATAGGAGGAGGAGTTACTTCGCCCCCATCACTTGCATCGTCTTGTCGCTGGGCTGGTAACCCAACCAGCGACCCTGGGATTTCAACGGTGAGCACAAGACCCAAAGTTCCGGACCAAAGTGCTGTTGACCCAATGTCCGCTAGCCGGACTTAGCTAGCCTTGTCCTTTCTTTGTTTTGTTTCCTTTTTAGCTTTCCTTCATCTTCCCTTTCAGCCAACAAGCTAGCTGCTAGAGGGTCTTCGGGTCTAAGTTTGGCCGAGGGAATAAATTTTGAGGTCTCAAACCTGGCTTGCGCTGGCATCGCATAATCGCCTGGAGGTCCCAGCTGGATGCGCACGAGAGGAGGCGTGGGGGCGCGAGGAGGTTTCTTGTGAGGGTTTCTTGGATCACGAGCGGTCGATAGCCAAGCTACTCAAAGATATTCTAATCACCGACCATGCACCTTGCTCGGGCCTGGGGTCATAGAATGCTGCGACATGATATTCCACTCAAGCCATCCTGTTGGCCCCAAATGTGTTTGGATTGTTGGCGCTACTTTGTGTCCAATATGCGTTTCCCCCCCTAGATGTTGAATCTTCTTTCCTTCCAAAGGTGCCCTAAATCCAAGGTGGCTTCCACTGTTCCCAAACCGTACCCCCTAAGCAACAATTGGGAAAACAACTGCTATATAGGCACAATTTAAAGGGCATACACATATTGCACATATATATATATATAGAGATTGCACATATATATATATATATATATATAATATGTATATATATATATATACATATATATATATACCTCCAGCTTTCCCTTGGGTGGTTGGGGTAGAGACGTCATCTCAGACATGAAAGCCGCGCTCGTCTTCTTTTCGACTGCGCTCATCGCTGAGGTCGAGGCCCTTTGCATGCGATGAGAGCTGGATCACGAACAGCCTTGCCGACACAGGCCCACGGTTTTCCGTTTTTTCTTGGCGTCGATGTCGAGCACGTGTCCAGACCCAGGTCCCAGTTGAGAGGGAGAAGCCGGATCGCTTTGTTGGGGGGAAACACTCCCCTATTGACCTGCCAGGATCTGCTTAGATCTTGGGTCAACAGAATTGGTGTGCAGACACACGTCTTAGCCAGGTGTGCAACTCGGACATGTCGTTGCGCATCGGGCGAACGCAGCTCTCCAATGTGAATTGCTAGTTGTCATGGTCCGAGTTTTCCATTTGTTGAATGCGTGGGGGGGGGTGTCCCCAACCAAAGCAGATGCCCCATTTTTCCCACAGCTCTAGGGGCCAATGGGCCCGTTAGCCCCCTGCCGTGTAATTGTTTCCACGGTTTCCTTGTGCCACAATCAGTCATGTTCTGTACTTACTCACATCGCGGAGTTGGGCCATCTAGAATCGACATTCACCTTTTTAGGGACCTTCCCAAATGGTGGCTTTCCTTTTGGTTCCCTTGAAAAGCCACCAAAAAAAAGCCACAAAAAAGGGGAACCTCAATAAAGACCCCATATACTCTATTGGAAGGCAGTGGTGCTATCTACCCTATCCTCTGCATCCCATGGTCGTGCCGGTGAGGCTTAGACCTCTACTACGGGAAGGCCGGTTTCCAGCGATGTCCAGCTCCGGGAGTGGGAAGGGTGTGTGTGTGTGTGGTGGGGGGGGCCTCCAATTTGGACACATACCCACATGATTAGAATTGCCGGGCGTTTGGCTTCTTTTTCGGGCGTCGTTTATCGTATCAAAAGTTGGAGCCATTTTTCATGTTGGGATGTGTGTGTGTGTGGGTTTGTTTGTTTGTTTGTGTGTTGAGACGGGCATTCCAAAGAGCGTCCGCATGTAATCGACTTCTCAAGTGAGCTAACAACAAGACTGTCCACTCATTTCAGGCCGGGGAGTCCCCTCAAAAAAAAAATGGGGTCTTGAGGCTCTGTGTCTTACTACCCAACAGCGATTTGCTGTTTGTCCAGAGTTGCACCCTTTGCAGATTGACATGCTGCGTGCAAGCACAAATGAGACAAAAATAACTTGCAGGTACTTGTCAAAGTCGACCCCTAGGAAAGGTAGCGAGTCCAAGAGGAAGCCACTTATTTGGGGCCGGGGCGCCGGGGGGTCCATTTTTTGTTGTTGGAGAAACCAAAAAGAGCTTTGGGGTTTTGGGGGGTCAGGCATTCCCATGACCAACTCGTCCAACTCATTGGGTTGGCCTTTTTAACAGCAAACCAAGAGGAAGCCCCACTCATTTGGGGCCGGCGGGTCCACCGATCTTTTTCTGTGCGAAACCGAATTCGAACGAAGCGCCAGGTGCGTCAGCTCTCAGTGGAGGTGGCCCTAGAGGAGTTGGACGACAAGCGCATGCTGCGTCTCCGCCAGGAGGCGCCGATATGGATCGGCTCGGCTCGATGCCCGTCGATGTGAGCCTTCAAGTCGACTCGGATCGGATGTGAGCCATGGGCGCGGGGCGCGCTTGTCACGGATCCCAAGGTGGACGAGTTGGTCATGGGAATGCCGTGGGAAGTAGTGAAGGACTTGTGTTGGATCCGGCAAAGTAAGAGCAAGAAAGTGGGTTTGCCGGGTTTGCGTCTAGGTTTCGCATGATGGGTTCCTCCGTTGTGTTGTAATAGTTGGAAGCACAGGTTTGATTATGGCAGCGAACAGTTCTAAGGACGCAGAGTTTGCTCGTGCCTTTGGAGGAAGCTTTCAGCGAAGTATGTCATGCCAAGTTTCGATCAATGCGAAGGAACTACTGAGAGGTTCCCCTTTTAGTGGAAGACTCGCCCGTTTTGCGGAGCTTCCTCGGATGCCTGATACTCGAGATGAATGCCAAGTTAGACTCTATGATGAGGAATGACAGGCTTAGGACGCGTTTCGCGTACAAAATCTGGAAACGGATTCCATGGGTACAGTTTGGTTGCCCTCAGTTTCCATTGGAACCCATCTAATTGTCTAAAGGACACATATTGTTTGCTTCAGGCATGAAGTCGCACATGTAATATGTATAACATACCTACACTGTACATATATACATATATATATATATATATATGTATACATACACATATTCAATAGGTACTTGGCACAAGAGGGTTTGGGGAAAGGCGACTCTATTGACTGACTAAGGCAGCGCTGAAGCCGAAGGGTTTCCCACAGTCCAACAGCAAGACTCTCCAAACCCGTTCCATGGGGGGAGGGGGGGAGGGGAGAGGTCGAACCCGTGGGCTCAAACTGGGTTTGAGGAAGTCCAATGGACAGGGCTCCTAAGATCTCCATTTTGCAACCATTTGAAACATGTTGCTTTTTCAACACCAAAACAAAGGGAAACCACCATTTACGATGTTCAGGTGTATAATGTAAGGATCCCTGTCCAAGGTTATGGCGCTTTCTGGTCCCAAGGGCCTCTAATCGCTGCTGTTAGGTTGCAAGGGCTCTGGCGAACCACGTGGCTAGTTGTTATATGGGTGTGGCAAACAATTAAGCAACTGGGGTTACGCAGGATTTAGCCTTTGGTTCCATTTGCCAAGGTGCCATTTTGGTACATGTTTTTGACCCACAGCCATATGGAACCAACACGCAAGTTCTTGGTGGACATGAATCCCTACATGATGGTCCCCTATTAAAATTCACAGCCAACACAGCAATCCAAACATTCCAATCCACCAATCCAAACGACCAATCCAAAGTACCAATCCAAAGTACCAATCCCACCACTCCAAACCAATCAATCCATATGAACACCACCAACCCCAGCTGTTCCTCCCCCCCCCCCCCCGGATCAGAAAAGACTTTGAAAAGACCCAGTCGATTGCGATAGGCCCTTTGCCTTCGCCCCATGATAATAGTCGATTGCGTTTGTTTGTTCCTGGGAAACCCAAACCAGAGGCCAAATCTGGCATTTTAACACGCTCTAAAGCGGCAAGGGGTCCACAGGTTACTAGTGAGCAACACGATCTCTGAAAACAGCAGTTTCATCAGTAGCCTTTTGGGGATGGGTGAAGTCAGGTGTTTCATACAGATCCCAGAAGCCTGGCAATCAAACTCTTAGAGCAAGAAATCGTGCTTGGTCAACCATGCACCAAACAACTGGTAGGGATTTGCCAAGTTGTTAGTGCTGGGATTGGGTGAATGAGGGCACCCAAGCCCCAGGTCTGGTCTCCACCCATTCGCTGGATTTCGGGTTTCCATGGGCCAGTGGGGCACGTCTCAGCGCACCCCGTCTCAGCTGGAGTCTCATCGGATGTCTGAGGCTTTTTGGGTCGAACATGACACCAGCCGTTTGAGCTTTTTCCTTGGTTTAGTGGTTGGGTGGGTGAATGTAACCCACAAGTGATTCACGTTTAGCAGGGGATCTGAAAACGGACAACCCAGAAACAGTGGACAGCTCATAGGTGTCCGTTTTGATTTGTTTGAAAAGTAGAGGGCGATGCTTGGTTTACCTGGTGGTTCAATCAGCAGGGCCATCTATTTCCCCACAAAGGACACCTATGGGAACCCAGTTACCCAGTGGTGCCCCTTTTTTCCTCTTTCCCCAACAGCTGAAAGCTTTGGGGTCTCAGCCCAGATAGGCTCCGGGGTGGTCCGGGGCGGCCCTGAGGTAAGGTTCCACGAGGGTTCCACCAGGGTTCCACCAGGGTTCCACCAGGGTTCCACTAGGGCTCCACCAGGTTCTGCGAGGCTGCGGGGGTGGTGCGAGCACCAAACAGAGCACCGCTGAGCTGTTTTTTTTGTGGGAAGGGTTCACCTTTAAACTCAACCAACCTTCGCGGGACGGCCAGATTTTAGGCTCCTTCCGGGATGTGGGCTCCACTCACTCCAATTGGGGGGGGTGGGGTCTTGAGCAATGTGGCGGAACCAACCAAAACAAATGGGTGCCCTTTTTGTTCCCATGGAAATCCACTGGGCATTTGAGGGAAAGCTTTTTCCTCCGCCGGTTTTCCCCGGAGGTTTCTCCCATGCTGCTGTGGCTGGAGCTGGCGTATGTGCTGAGCTTGAAGCCCAATCGCTCCCGTGTTTTCTCTCCGGGGATGGGACAGGGGCGGATACTGTGGATGGTTGCAAAATCCGCTTCTCGCATCGCCGTTCAGAAACCCTGGTTTCGGTCGAATCCCCTGTAAATACCAACCAACCATGGTTTCCAAGTGGTGCGAAATGGGTTTCGTCCATCCACAGTATGGCTGTGGTCGTCAACACCAATGGGATCCCATTTTGGTTGCTAGGTGCACCACCCATTTTAGGCTTTATTTTAGTGGGGATTGGGATGTTCACTGCGGGGTACGGGATTTTGACCCATGGCCATATGCTATTTCTGGTAGCAAAATGCGTTGTCTTCCTTCTGGTGGTTCCCACTTGGTCTTCCTTTGAAACCTCAACACAGGTACCTTCAACATGAATCAGATGAATCTTTTCCGGGGACTCAGTTTTGGTCGATTTTGAAGGTCAACGAGAAGGAACGCCACCATGATGGTTCCCATGCTGGTCTATGTCCTAAGTTGGAGCCGCACCCAAAACTGCTTCTTTATAGGGTTAGACAAAATACGGCGGTTCCCCGCGAATCGTTCGGTGAAACTGAGGTTTTTAGTTGCTTTTGATTGGCTTCCTGGTTGGTTTTCCATTTAGCCGCCAAGTTAGACTCGTAGCGATCTGAGGACAGCCCAGTGGAACACCTGTGTTTCTGTGTACGGATGTGGTCCCCTCCCTCGGCCTTTCGCCCTGACTGAAAGTCAGACTTCCACATGGACTCCTTGGATCCGAGGCCCCGAGTTCAGCCTCATCCTCTGGAACCGGGCGCTGATCGAGGTGCGGAAGTCCCCGGTTTTTCGACGCTCGAGCGAGAGCTCGGGCTTTCGCCTGCCTATGACACAAGCCCACAGACTAGAGACGCACTTGGCGGCGGATCAAGATTCCCTTAAAGGCCCCCAATTTGACCTGGGGTAACTTTTCGTTTAGTGGGAAGGATCATCTTTTTGGGGGTTTTCCAACCACTGGTCATCCCATATTTACCGGACCTTTTGATCAACCCCCACTTGCAAGTTCACACACGCACACAAACAAACGCATAAAGACACACAGACACGGACAGAGGCACAGGCACAGACAGAGGCAAAGCAAAGGAAAGGGTTTAGGACTTTCCTGAATGGGTGAGTCTTTCTTAATTGTTTTCAAATGTGACCCCCTCAAAATTAAAGGTAGCCTTCCTTTTGATTTCCTATTTCAACCACAAGAAAGGGGAATACCAGCTCCGGACAAGTCCTTCTGGTTTCCCTGTTAATGTTAACCCCGGATTAATAGACCACTGGTTGATTTTGATCAGACCACTTTTGGAGGGAACACCCCCTAATGGGACGGGTTTATGAAAATCCTGGGTGAACATTAAACTTCCATTTGCTTAAGAATATGTTTTGTATTTTCCCTCGTTGGTTTTCAAAGGAATTTATCACTTCTGGAAATATTTATTTTTATTTTTCCAAGGGTCTTTACCAAATGGAAGTAAACCACACAAAACGGGGCACCAACTCCGCAAAAGACCGGGGCCGCATCGAGGTTTTCGGCTCGGTGACGCTGCCCGCTGCGGCGCGTGGCCTCAGAAATTGACCGGCAGAGGTTCCCGAAAGCGAAATCCGTTCGACCGCACCACGCAATGAAGCCATGGTCTTCCATTTGCTTCATGTTTTTTTAGTTCACCTGTTGGTTGTTAAGGAGAATCTATCACTACTGGAAACATGGTTATTTGTTCCAGGGGACTGAAGCAAATGGATGGAGCCATTGCTTGTTGGTATTTCAGGGGAGTCATTAGACACCTAGGTTAGGTTTGCATGTAGTGAATCATTCCAACATGTTACATGGTTTAATTTGGGTTTGTTGATATCTACAGGGGAATCATCAGAAACCAGGGAGTTTCTTAGGTGGTGCGAAATGGATATCGCAACCATCCACAGTCTGGATGGATTCTCAACTTGTTTGAGTTGCCCTTTTCAACCCAGAAAAGTAGTAATCATTCAAGTATTTCGACATCAAAGGGGACAGTCTTGCAAAATGCCGCGTTTCACAACCAGAGCCTTTGTTCGGTTCCCGGGAAAGCAACAGGAGGTTAAGTTCAAGCAGTGTATCCATGTTTTCTCAGGAAAAAACGGGTCCCATAAGTTTGGCTAGGATCTTTGAAGACCAATACGGCGAAAACTCGACAGGGTCGGCTCTTTTTGCAACTTCTTTTTTTTTGGGGGGGGAAACAGCGATTGAAAAATATACAGAGGGAGAGGGAGTGGAAAGGAGAGGGAGTGGGAAGGAGAGGGAGTGGGAGTGGGAGAGGCAGAGGGCGAGGCAAAGAGACTCATGCCTCATCCCTTTGCTGGAGGACGAGTGACGAGTCCATTCAACCGCGCAGCGTTTTGGCCGAAGGCTTCTGCTGACCGGTGTGCCGGTGTGCGTCCATCCGAGCCATGCTGGCGCCCGCCTTTGTTGCCCCGGCGCCCTATGCGCGGGAGATTAGGACAGAGCTTTGGGTGCGATGGGAAGAGGGTTGGTTCTAGTGCTACCTTCCCCATTCTTTCCAGGGATCCTTCTAGAAAACCTCCAGAAACCCAGGTTGAAAACGGATCCGGTTTTCGAAAAGAACGATGGTTGGAAAGAATGGATAAGGAATCAAGCCTTAGATTGGGGCCGGTGTTTCATGGGCCACAGGTTGTCTCATGCACGACCAGGTGCACCAGGAGATCAAAGAGCTGCAGCCCCAAATTCTGGGGTCCACTTTATCTCTTGGTGGCAAGCCCAGCCATCCGGTTCCTTAGCCTTTTAGCCTTTTAGCTTTTTAGCGTTTAGTGGTAGTTTCCGAATTTAATCCACTAAAAGTTGTTCACTTTTAGCGGGGGATCTGAGGGCAGCCCAGATCTTGAAATGTTGGCACCACCTGATGGAGTTTCGGCTTCCTTGTGGTTTTTCAATTCCATTTGGAGACATGCCCATTGGGTGCGTCTCTTTTGCAGGGTTGGTTTGACCCTGTATTTGTTCACTCGCTGGTTCTCTGCAGGGAATGAGGGAATGCCCCCTTTACACGATACATTGTGGTTTCTTTTAAGGGACCCCTGGGTTCATTCCCAACATCCGAAACGGTCATTCCCTGCTGAGCACCGGCAAGTTTAACGCTCGGTTCGGTCGGCGAATTGGTGTGGGGCCCTTCTATTACATATGCTCAGGCAACTTAAATTTAAAGACTTAGAGAACTTGTGAAAGTTAGTTCTAGGGAAGTTAGGAGGAACTTATAAGTTACAGAGGCCTTCTTCGAGTGCTTTCATGAAAGCCGTTGCCTCACCCACGAGTAAGCACGTGGCGCAGGCCAGCGCTTTGCTGACCGCAACTTGCTGCTTTTGACGCACAGATGCATAGTTCGGAAGGGTTGTTAACCCCTTCAAGAACTTCTGCGAGACACTCAGCTGCTTGAGTAGCTTCGACGCCATCTTCTTTGCACAACCTGGGCTCCCTATTTTAAACTCGCCGCTTGGGTTGAGCCGAGAAGCGGCCAATGAACACTTGACGACAAAGAGCATTGGCGCGTTTTCATACCAAATTGCATGTCCAAAATACAATTCAGCAACCAAGACAATACGTGTAGTGTAAACCATACCTCCCTATAAGTTGCGCGAAAGTTTTCGTAACTTCTTGTAACTTCACAAGGCATGAAGTGCTTAACTAAGTTGTAAGCTATTAAGTTCACGATAACTTACCTAGGCCTAAGTGTTCAAGTTATAGACAAGTTACGAACTTATGTTGAGGTTGACAAGTTATGACTAGTTTATGACTATCTTGTCAAACTCATAAACCACTTATAAGCCCTTAAGTTGCCCCACCATACGTAGTATGTGGGGGTTGATAAAATTCCATTTAGGCTCCCCGGTTTTGACCATGGGTAACTTTTCCCATGTGGTTGAAAGATCAAATCTTTTTCATGGCTTTCCAACCACTGGTCATCCCGACCTGTTCTGTGTATATATATATACATACATATATATCCGTATATATATATATACAAATATTCATGTATACATATTTATGTATACATATGAATATATATGTACACATGCATGCATGGAACCCACCACGTTCGCGTCGTTCGTTTCGAGTCTCCGAAAGGAGCGATGCCGCGTCCGGAGCGCAGCTCCGAGGGCAGAGCTTTGTGGGCGGACAGACCTTCGAGGACTTGGTGGGGTGGGTGTGGGTTGATGGGTATCCTTGGCACGTTGATGGGTTTCTGCTTTTTGCCAGGAACCTTCCACCAAGTATGGTTGGAATAGTTTCAACCATGGTGCGCACGGATTTCGTGCATCCACAGTTGCATAGTGAGTGAGCTTTTTGCCAGGGCACCAAGTTACCAGCCTACGACGTGTACATCTGCCTTTGTATGTCTTAGGAAGTGCAGCAATTGGAAACCTTGCAGGGGGGTCTTGCCAGGACCCTTCCGCCCAGTATGCTGCCACCTCCCTGTGCGCCATGCTGGCCGCCGCGGGTGCAGTGCGCTGGCGCGAGCGCCGCTCCGTGAAGCTGCGGGCTGGGAGCTACACCCCGGCCACGGCGGTGGTGGCCAGCCCCCAGGCTGTGGGTTCAAGCACAAAGACAAAAAACGACCAGTTGGGCGGGTTTTGCAGGCCGTGGGTTGTGCCGCAACAAAAGACCACCTCTTGGGCGGATTTTGCAGGCTGTGGGTTCTACCACAGCCAAAAGCCACCTGTTGGTGCGTTTGAAGGATGAGATGGGATGTTTGAGGCCATGGGTTCTACAAAAGAAAATGTCTAGGTCCCCCAGTAGCGCCCTTTACCAACTTTTTTTTGGGGGAGGGTTCCCTACTAAAACAGACTACAGAAAAAGGTTGGTACCCTTATTCTAACCTCTCTACTGGAGGACCTAGATGTTGGGCCAACAAGAACCCAGCTCAAGGGGTGTGGGGCAAGGCCTGACAAGAGGTTTGCTTGATCCCGGGATCCCCTTGATTCAAGGCGCCGCAGTTGGCCTTGTGATCGCGTGACTTTGTGAGGAGACCTATCAGGAGATGGTGGACAAGGCGGAGTACCTCAGGCACGGCATCCTCCGAGTTTGGCAGTGCCAAAGCGACCTGCTTCACATCCATCCTGTTTTAAGGGAACCAACATGGAGCTTGAGTCGATAGTTGGTGTGTCTTTATAATAAGCCATCGGGGTCCCAATTGAAGGGGTCTGCTCAAGCCAACCATTGGAAGACAACGAGTTCGGGATCTCGGCTTTTCGTTTGCTTCCGAACGAGGGGATCCGAAGCTTCAACCCGTTTCTTTGGTACCTCTTTTGGGCATGGCGCGAAAGGCGCGACATGCACTTGGGCCCTTGTTCCCTTTTTTGGGGGAGGGTTCCCCTGCTAAAATAGACTACAGAAAAAGGTTGGTACCCTTATTCTAACCTCTCTACTGGAGAACCTAAATGACAGCCACCCCTCACAAAAGCTTCACTTTGTGCCGAGGGTTTCGGGCAGTTGGGGGTGTGCTTTTGAGGGTGCCCCCCAAAACGGTGGTGGTCTTGTTGGTTTCGGGTTGAAACCAACCAAAAAAGAGGGTGCCTTCGAAAAAAGACGAACACAATAGATCCGACATGATCCGACTAAATCATGTCAAGGCCAACAATCACTCTTGTTGGTCCAGTACTGTTAAGCCTTGCAACTCCGATTGAGTTGTCCTTCGTCGCTTCGCTGCATGCTCCACGCTGATGTGATTTCATTCGCTGAATTTACTGCAAGTATAATATGGGAGACGACCCTTCTCCCCCAATCACCCCAACCAGAACCATAGTGATATACTTTGTTGCTGCTTTCCCAAGAATGGAGCCCTTCTTGGATGATTCTCTAGGGGAACCGACAGGCAACACATATGCTTTCCCAAGAATGGAACCCTTCCTGGATGATTCTGGAGAAATCAACAGGAAACCAAACACTTGTTGTTGATATTCGGTCGATGGTTTTTCAGAGCTCCCCAGTTTTCCGGGTAGATGAAGGTTAGTAAGGGACAATCCTAACCATAAATAGCTGCGGCCGCCCTCTTAATTCTTTAAATGGTTCTGGGTAGACCATTTCAATACCGGGTCTCAATTGGGTTGATTAAAGCCGTCGCTTGTTGGGCCAGGTTAAGGTGAGTTTCCGCTTGGTGGGATGATGTTCATTCCCCCCCAACAACCCAACAACCCAACAACCCAACAAAACCCATCAGCCCAACACAACCAACTCAACCAACTCAACAGCCCAACAGCCCAACAGAAGCCCGTTTTCGGTACAGGGACCAGCACTGGGTGAAGACCTTCCACGCCGCCTTCATGGGTGGTGCCTACGTGGGCATGGCGGGCTTGTTGTCGCTGATGGTGGGGGGCAACATCACCAACAACTTCATCACCCAGAAGACCATCTTCGCAGCCTTGCGCCTCGGTTGCCCTGAAATAATTGTTTGTGACAAAAAACTTTTTTCTCGGGTATCAAGGTCAGAAGCTGGTGAGTGATTTACCTTTGAACTACCACTTAAGGGGTGACTTTGAGACCGGTAGAGTATTGCAGCCAGATACCGAAAGCAA